GCATCCTCTGGCTCTCTCCCTTTTCAGCCTCTTACCACCAATTGCCAGGAGGGCTGTGGCCTTATAAGAAGAGAAAGAGAGACACTTGTCACTCTCTCTGCTATGTGAGGACATAGAGAGATGGAGACTGTAGCCAAGAAGAGGGTCTTCACCAAAGCCTGACCATGCTGGCATCCTGACCTTGGACGCTCAGCTTCCGAAACTGTCAGGAAATACATGCCCTTTGCTTAAGTTCCTGGCCTGTGGTATTGTTTTGCAGCCCCAGCCAACTAAGATAGTCACCCAACCCAGCAGAAGACACAGGGAAAGGCTCGATCGAACTCATTTTATCGACACTGAGGGAAGTAGAACAAGCTGCAGAGCCTGCAGAGCGCCTCTCGCCTGCTTCTCGTCCTCCTCTGGAGTCTTGATTCATTAGCTCATGCAGCTTCTCACATTAAGAACTTTTTATCAACTCTTTTTGCCTTTTTTTTTTAGCTCTTCCTGTGCCATTTTTATTGCTCGCCCCAAGAGATAACCCAGCAGCAAGACAGATTTTTATCCTGAATATCAGGTAGACCTTCCATCTCTTTTTTTTTATTAAGGCAGCTGAACTTCTCCCTTTTTTATCTTGCAAAGTGAGGCAAGCAGGATAGAGAAGAAAGGAAATAAGCCACGAAGCCCTCCCTAAAGTGACAGGCAGGGAAATTGGTTTGCCTTTTCTGCTGCACACAAAAGTGAAATGTCGTCAAGTCCTGTAGATCCTGCCGCCTGAGAAAGTGAGTCCACACAGACACAGAGAACAGCCTGCGGTCGCCAGAGGGAGGGGCCGGGGACTAGAGGCTGGGTGCTGGGTGGAAAAGGTGAAGGGATTAAGAAGTACACATTGGTGGTTGCAAAATAGTCAAGTACAGCATAGAGAATATAGGCAATAATATTGTAATAATGCATGGTGCTGGGTGGGTACTAGAATTATCGGGGGGATCACTTTGTAAAGTATCTGATTGTCTGACCATGATGCTATACACCTGAAACTAATACACAATAATATTGAATGTCAACTGTAATTGAAAAGAAAAAAACAACAACAATTTTTTAAGCGAGCCTACAGGCTGTTCCCTGACAAAGCCATAAGCAATTCAGAGAGAAAGGGGAACCCGGTAGCTATGAGGTCCACACGTGTGGGGGGCTCCCCTTCCTTCCTGCCTTTTCTTGCCTCATCAAGATTCTTCTCCCTCACAGAGCAGCCCATCTCCTCCAGCAACAGTCACCCAGGCCTGCCCCCCGCCGCCCCGGGACCCTTCTCCTTCCACCTGGGCGCTCAGTGGATGCCATCCCTCGGCCCTGGCTCTCCCCCCTGCAGACCCCTCTGAGCCCAGCCTGTCCTTCGTAAGAGCAAGGCCTCATGTTAGAGGGGTGGGGCTTCTGCACATTCCCTTTGTGGTCAAAATGGTGATAGTCATACTAACAACCATCATGTATTGATCACTATCTATTTACACGTCACAATGCTAAGTATTGGACAAGCACGGTTTCATCTGAGCCTCACGACTTTAGGCCCTGCATACTATCACCATCGCCACTTCACAAATGAGGAGAGTGAGTCTTAAAACGGGATTCCTAAAGCCAACCAGTTCCTAAAGTCAGCAGGTAGTCAGGGCCCTGCAGGCGGCCCGGGAACTGGCCGACAGATGCAGAGCCTTTGTGAGATTCTGATGGAGAAGTCAAGCCAAATTATTTCGACTCATTTTGTAGACAATTAAAGGCTGCTTAGTAACCGTTCCATAATTGCGTCATTAAGGGGAACTACCATTTGGTTTTCATAAACGAAAATGAGCTCATTGCTAGAGTTTATCGCATACTCTAATCCAGTATTTTACCGAGAGGTGGGTGGCTTGGCGATGCTGTATTGGTCCCACGGTCGCCAGGCATGTGCAGAGCTTGAAGACCCATAATTTTCACAACTCTCCACTGTCAGGCGTCACTGCCTTTGTCTTGAATTTACACTCAAACCTATTGCTGTTTACTTGCTCTTACGTGATATTTCAGCTTTATCACTATTTATATTATTGGTTGTGGGCTCTTCTCTAAACCCTATAGAGCAGCGGTTCTCAACCTGTGGGTCGCGACCCCTTTGGGGGTCGAACGACCCTTTCACAAGGGTCGCCTAAGACCTTCGGAAAACCCATATATAATTACATATTGTTTTTGTGATTAATCACTATGCTTTAATTATGTTCAATTTGTAACAATGAAATTGGGGGTCACCACAACATGAGGAACTGTATTAAAGGGTCGCGGCATTAGGAAGGTTGAGAACCACTACTATAGAGAGTGGTGAGGTCTGTTGACATATATTTTCACCTGTTATTTTTCAAGAACTATACTGAAATATCCTATTGGGCTAAACCAAATGAAATTGCCTGTCTTCAACCATTTTTACCTTCGGTTAAACCAGTGGTCGGCAAACTCATTAGTCAACAGAGCCAAATATCAAGAGTCCAACAATTGAAATTTCTTTTGAGAGCCAAATTTTTTAAACTTAAACTATATAGGTAGGTACATTGTTATTAACTTAATTAGGGTACTCCTAAGGCTTAGGAAGAGCCACACTCAAGGGGCCAAAGAGCCGCATGTGGCTCGCAAGCTGCAGTTTGCCGACCACTGGGTTAAACCATATGAAACTGACTCCAGTCAACCCTTCTGGACCTACAAAAATGACAGTTTCGTGTGGTTCATCCTAATAGTTCAAATGTAAATTCTTATCTCATTTGCTAGAAATTGTGTGTATAATACCCTCCAAAAATGTAGGTACTGTACCACTTCACAGTACCTGTGAATTTGTGTTTTAAATAATTTGTAACATACTATTATTATAAGTTACTATAAGGAAATTGCTATTATTTTAAATTTGCAATTTTTTTCTGTGAGTTGTTTATGTTTCTCTCTCGTGCTTCAGCATCACTTGATTCCTTTTCACTGTGCAGTGGGAATGGATAGGACATGTGGACCTTGGGGACTTTTGTGCTACCTAGACAGACGCTGGTCAAAAAACGTAAAAAGCACAGCTTTTGGGGCGAAGGAGGTTTTCCAAGCCCCACAACTAGTAAGTGTGGATTCAGGATTCAGATGGAAGTCAGCCTGCCTCGCTGACTGAGGAAATGATGCCTATTTTCGTAAATGATGTCAGTTACACCTCTGTAGCCTCCTGAACAAACAAACAAAAACAAAAAAAAAAAACAGGCTTCCATGATATCTCTTTAGGGAAATTAGGTTACGACCATTTATTGAGTGCCAGTCACTCTGCTTGGTATGTTAGGTCAAACCTCATTTAATACCACCACAAGCCTTGGGAGGTTGGTATTATCAATCCGTCCTGGTGGGAAACAAGTTCACAGGCTTGAGTCTAACTCAGTGTTGCAGAACAGGTGGTGAGCGCAGGAAGCAAACTTCAAAACCCATTTGAATGCTCACCACCTGCCTTTTCTTCTTCCTCCCTCCCCCTTCCCTCTGGAACCTGTTTCTCTACCATTTTCACTATTAACCCTTGAACACTCTCTCCCATGGACAAATGCAGCAGCCACCTGGACTCCACCCTCTCTCCGTCCCTACCTACCCCCCACATGGCCTCCAACTTGCTCCACAATTCTATGCGTAGATCTGATCACAACCCACCTCTTCCATGGCCCCGCGGTGCTGGCGAGGTAGAAGGCATTTCCCAGTCCAGCCTTTCAGCTGTGGGGAGGGTCTGCCGTTCCATGCCGCGACCACTTCCTGTCCCGCAAGCTGGGTCCAGGCCAGAGGGGAGGTTGCTTTCCACAAACCTCCCTGAGAGACTATCTGGTCGTAGTTCACTCTGATACACATCAGCACCGCTCCACTACCTCCTGCCATGTGCTGGTTCCTGGAACTGGTTGTTGTCCTGACCTGGTCAAGCATGTAATTTCCTGTACCTGGTAGAAGCCTCATATGGTCCCTTTGACTGTCCTCCTTTTACCCTATATTCTTCTTTGGTGCCCACCAAGGGGCACAAGGGTCCATTTGGCCTTGCAGCCACCCAACGCATGCCTCCTGTAAATTTCCCTTTAAAAAGTCTATTCGTTACCAGATGAGTGGCCAGCCTCTTTCTTCAGTCTTTCCCTCCTCTCTGCTTACAGATGTGGATTTGCAGATCCAGAAACTTTCCCTGGGTCTGTGTGTGCTATCGCCCACCTACCTTCCTGACCGTCTCTGCCAATACTCCCTATCCCCAGCCCCGACCCCAATGACCCCTCCAGCCCCTCCCATTTCCTCTAACACCCATGACCTTTCTAACCCAACTCCTGAGCCTCCTTGCACTTGCTACTCAGGGCACCTGGAGGGACTTATTTATTTATTTATTTATTTTACTACCTGCCATTTCTCCACCTGGAAAATTCTCCTTCCTTCAAGGCCCAATTCAAAGGTCGCCGCCTGTTGGAGAGTCATCCCAGACTCTCCTTGGCAGTTCGTAGCTCCTTTATGTCCACAGGACTTTGCACACATTTTTAATTAGACAGACAGTTTCTGTTGAATGATAGAATGTTGAATGTTGTTGTTGAAATGTCTAATCTATCTTTCCCACTTGATAATGAGCGCCTGGAGGATAAAGATCATGTTGTATTTTCTTTGGATTGCCAGCCCTCAGAAAGCGCTTGGCACAAGGTCAGTACTCAATAAATATTCATTAATGTGCAAATACCCCCATAGTCTCTGGTGCGCATAGAGCATACTGAGGAGCTGTTCGGTACAGCGGATTGCAACGGAACCTAGAGGAAGGGTGACTGATTCCAGTCTGGGCTCGTCTACCAGCTGGCTGTGTCACCAGGGACAGCACTGATCTGGGTCTCAGTCCCCTCACTTGTAAGGGGGTGGGGGGCAGACATCTGAGTGTCCTTTCAGGGCTCACATCCGATGATGTGAAGGACTTGACAGCTCATCTCTAAAACTATCTTTTTTTCTCACCCAAAGGAAAAGACGTTGGAGGTCTTCTAAGGAGAGTCATGGCACACACTCTGGAGCCTCTATCCCAGATGCCCGTCATCAAGTTCAAGGGCCAGGACTTTAAGACCCTGCGGGATCGTTGCCTAAGCAGAGGCCTCCTGTTTGAGGATGAGACCTTCCCTGCCGAGAGTTCTTCCATAGGCCCGTTGCTGCTCCAGGGAAAACGCCTCTCCAGGCTGCAGTGGGAGCGACCAAAGGTGAGTGAGCCCCCCAGGCCTGGGCCCTCTGAGCCAGCCCACCATGGTCCCTCCCATGGCCCCTCAGGACCCCTGAGTTCTAACCCAGCTCTAACACTGAGCACATCACTAGATGACCTGCCTCAGTATTCTCACCTGAAAAATGAGAAGACATAGGTGTGAAGAGTGTCTCTGAGCTCTCTTCTGTCTCTATAATTGAGCCTGTCATCACTCTTTATTCTCTTCAGGTATGACTGTCTTTATCTCCTGTTCCTTTTTGTCTGTTAGAATTTACTCAAAGGGAAGCTACCATGTCAGTCACTTGTACAATAGGATGAATTTAAATAATTGGCTCGCCTCTCTCACTTTTATTTGTATTTTCAATCTTGCAAAGACCTGATCACCTACAGAAGAATTTTAGACATCAGCGGGAAAGTTAGGAAGCTATTTCAGGGCAACATTCCAAGTCCTCTGAGTCCCCCACCCCAGCAGATGGCCACTCACTCCACCTTGCAGCAAGGAGAGCCTTGTTGGTTTTTCCAGAACCATCTCAGTTTCAGGGCGTGAGGCTCCAGAGGACATTGCTCAGCCAACTTAACGTTTTCATAATCTCATCAGGGCCACTGCTGATGACAAAGACCCAGGTCACGGTCACTGTGAGTGCCCTGGTGCTCAAAGCTTCTGTTTGTGCTTCCAAAAGCAGCCAGTGGAACCTAAAACAAGGGAAAATGCTATCGTGTCTAGTAAGCTAAGGATGATAACATCAGCAAGTATAACTGAGCACATATTAAATGCCATGCACTCTACCGAGCACTTTCAGTAAAGTCACGTTAGGTCGTCCAGAAAAGGCATTTTCTGGTGACACAGAACAAGACACAGAACTCTGGGGGTGCCAACTCAGGACAGACCTGGAGCCTCAGGGAAGGAGGAGATTAGTGGGGATCAGATGGGGCTTGGATCTGCTTAAAGAAAGTGGGGTGCTCCAGCCTTCTAGGACCCATCTTCCCAGCCAGCAGCAACAAGTCCCCACAATGACTCTCTTCTTCAGGCCTTCCCCTCCTAAGGAGGGCTGACCAGAGAACTCTGTTTAACATTTGGAAGGGTTAAATATTGTTTTGTCTGGGTTATTTTCAGAGGCTGAGATTCTTTTTGAATGTGTTTCCTTTTTTTCATGCGGTGCTGGGAATAGATGTGAGACTACATTTATAGTGTTTAAGAATTTATACATCTATTTAGAAAGGGTTGAGAATTTCTCGTCATCTTAATTCCAGCAGCATCTCAACTTGTGATGTCTTTGGGGGTCAAGGAGAAATGTAGGCAAACAAAAGTGAAATGACTTACACAAAATCATGCCAGGGAGCACAGACAATAGGGTGGTGAAGGCCTGGGCGGGCGTGGAGGCTGGTTAGAAGGGGTCAGTGGGGGACAAAGGGGGCATATGTAATACTTTCAACAATAAAGGTTAAAAAAAAAGAATCGTTCCAGGAACCCAGGATAGAGGCACCAGGGGCCAAATGCAGTCTATTCCCATTCCTCTTCTACCAGGGGCTGTCTTTTCCATTCCAGCACTTCTTTTAAAATGTATATGTGAATATGTCATCTGTCTTTATGTTTCTTATCACAGCTGGCAGTATAGTACTTCCCAGAGCTTTCCATGTGTCTTATTTTGTCTCCTTTGTTCTTCTTTATTTCATGGATAATAATAAAAAATCCCATTTATCAAGTTTGTACATGTGCTACGTATTAATCTAAGCACTTTACACATCACATTGCCACGGCAACCCCGTGAGTCGATAACATTATCATCCTTGTTCAGTAGGTCGGCACCGCCCAATAGAACTTTCCGTGAGGATGGGAAGGTTCGTTCTGTGCCGTTCATTACAGCAACCACTGGTCACATGTGGCTGTTCAGCACTTGGAATGTGGGTTGTGTGACTGAGGTTCTGAAATTTTCATTTTATTCTGTTTAAATGAATTTAATTTAATGTACCTTATTGGAGAGCACAGCAGAGTCACCAGTGTATGTCAGGTTGAGGGATTAAAATTTCACCATTGTCCCCATTCTTTAGTGAAAAACATTTCACTTCTCAACTGAAGAATGGGCTATGGGCCCAAACCACATTGATGGGCGCTCAGAGAGCAACACCCAGCCCCACTGTGGATTCTGGCCCGTGGCCATCCCAGAATGCAGCACTGCCTGCCTAGGCAACAACTTTCTCCTTCCCAGGAACCAGAGCAGACTTTCTGAAAGGATCCTTCACTAAGAACAATTCACCTTGGGACCAAAATGAGTTCTTCCATAAAGTGGAGATATGAGTGTAAGTTGTAAAAGCAATAAGTAACAGAAGGTGAGAGAAAGTAAACATGCCAACAGACAGTTGCCATTGAGCGGAAGAACTTTGATGCCAATAAAGCCAATCTTCCTAGAGAAAATAGAAGAGGGAGTGACGCTGCCACCAGGCCCAGCCTGACCTCTGGCCACCCCCTGAAAGCGCCTGTGTCTAAACGCCCGTATGCTAAGCCTGGCGTTCCCTCATGCGAGAGCAGCACACCGTCTGGGGACATGCCTGAGCAGCCTTTGAAAAGAATGCAGGAATCACTGTCGAAAATAGACCCAGTGATGTCCCATTGGGAGAGACCCCTCCAGAAACGATGCGGGAGAGTGTGGCTTTGGTGCCACTCCAGGGAGGGGAGTTTCTTAAACTCCAGGGACTTTTGCGTTACGTGAGTTTCTGGCATCCCTAATGTAACAGGGGGTGCCCCACACTTTGCATTGAGAACGAGCTTCACAATTCAGAACGAATGTATATCCTGTAGCATCTAACTAATAGGAAATATATCCATATTCCCTATTGGTAGAGTTACTCTGAGAAATTGGCTCACGTGTTCACGGAGGCTGAGAAGCCCCACACTCTGCCATCTGCCAGCTGGAGACCCAGCGAAGCCAGTGCCATAGTTAGGTCTGAGAGGCAAGGCCTGAGAACCAGGCAGCAGATGGTGTAACTCCCCATCCAAGGGCAGGAGAACGCCAATGTGCCAGCTCAGCAGTCAGTCAGAAAAGGGTAGTTCTCCCTTCCTCTGCCTTTTGTTTTATTTTTCTCCGGATTGGGTGAGGCTTATCTACACTGGGAGGACAATTGCTTTCCCAAGTCCACTGATTCACATGCTAATGTCATCTGGAAACACTCTTTCAGATCCACCTAGAAATGGGGTTTAGCCAAGTACCTGTGACCCAGTCAAGCTGACACAGAAAGTCGACCATGGCAGTTTTCTTCTGCACATATGGGTGTTTCAGTGCCCTCAAAAGGCCAGTCTGCCTCACAGAATCAGGAAACACCAAAGTCATGAAGCCCCTGCCTGCTGGTGTGGTCCCTGGGGAAGAGCCAGGCACCAGGGAGGCAGATTGCCCGACCCCAGCTGCTTCCTGTGGGCCCTGGAACAAATCTCTGCTCTGCACCTGCTCGCTGGGCCTCGCGGGACTCACCTGAGGAGCTGTCAATCCTGGGCTCTGCCTCTGGATGGCCTGCTGAATCCAAGCTGTAGGAGGGGGGACCTAGGGGTCTCCATGCCCGCGAGCCCGTGGTGATTGAGTCACGCCCGGGGTGGATACTCTGATCCTTGACAGTGACTTCACTGCCCTGTGCTCCTGGTCCAGCTGGAGACAGGGGGACTGCCCGGAGCCAGCGCCTTACCATCCTCCCAGCCATCTTTACCCATTTTCTCTGTGGGCCTTGTCCCAGGAGGTCAGCCCAGCAGATAAAAACACTTCTTAGTCTACTTCTGCCTCTTTCTACCTTTTTAAAAAATATATATTTTATTGATTTTTCACAGAGCGGAAGGGAGAGGGATAGAGAGTCAGAAACATCGATGAGAGAGAAACATCGATCAGCTGCCTCCTGCACACCCCCCACTGGGGATGTGCCCGCAACCAAGGTACATGCCCTTGACCGGAATCGAACCTGGGACCCCTCAGTCTGCAGGCCGACGCTCTATCCACTGAGCCAAACCGGTTAGGGCCTCTTTCTACCTTTGAGACCCTCCAGCACCCATGGAAGCCCAGGGTGGGGAAGGAACAGGCAGCTCAGAGGTCAGGGGACTTAGATGCTGGTCATGTGCCCAAAGTTGATTGATGTTGACTATGGACTTTTTATTGGAAATAATTGCCATTTAGTTTTTATAACATTAAAATATCTTTCTGTTCCTAATTAGCTAAAATTTTGGTTTTTTTAGTTTTTATTTTTGTTACTTGGGCAAATCAGAGAAACTTGTGCATTTATCAAATGCCTTCATAGAAGGATAAAAATTGTCTCCTCTTTGGCCCATGTAAATACTTTTTTCCATCATTGGATATCCTGATATGAAACCACCCTGGCAAATTTCTATGGAAAACCCTACTTGAGAGTGGGTTAGTCTTGTCACTTATGGTAGATTCATTGGCTGGGTATGTTATTTCATGTGTTTCCATGAGTATAATCAGCCTGGTGCGTGTGTGCTTCTGTGTTTTCGCTCTCTCTCGGTTTGGGCCTCCAGGCTGTGCTGGCTTCTTAGAATAAATGGTGGCAGGATTCTTCTTCCAAACTTTTTTTTAAACAATGAAACTGTAAGTGACACTGGAATTGTCTAGTCTGTGAAAGTTTGAGACAACTCAGCAGGAAAATCATGTGTACTTAGCAGCCTTTAACAGAGATGGTGGGGAGATGTTCTGGGGTCATTTAAAAATACTATTCCAAGGTTATTGATCTTCTTGGGTTATATACTAACTTGAATAATTTGGGGCAATGTTCACTTTCATCAGAAAATCATTAGTACTTTTAAATGGATTAGTATAGAATCTTACTTCATGTTTTAAATTGCTAAAACCCAATTTTTGCTACTTTTATTTGGGTTTCTCTACCACATTTGCCAAAGGTTGGATCTATGTAAGCCTTCTTGCCCAAAAGGAACAATTTACTTGCACTATTGATTTCTCTGTTTTATAATTCCCTAATTGTGCTCTTTTATCACTTCTTTCCTCCTATATTTGCCAGGTTCTTTTTGTCTTTTTCTTGCTAACATCTGTGAGTCGACTGCTTAATTCATGCTTTTATTCTATGTTGTTTAATAATGAATGGATTTGAGGTTCTGGGTTTGTCTATGAATATGGCTTTTCAAAGTTTGCAAATACTGCAGACGGAGGGAATCAATATTTATTGAACATATACCCTGCCAGGCGCTGTGCTAAGTATTTCGCTTCCTTCCTCGTGTGGAAAAGGGAAGGGCTCTTGCTTTGCCAGGCCGCAGGGAGGCAGCCCGTGGACAAAGCGCCTGGCCTCCGGAAGGGCTGATAATGGCAGCCGGTGCCTGGGTCACCTTATCATTGGAGTCTCCCATTTTGCACACGAGGAAACGGAGGCTCCGCAAAGGAAGGGAAGTTGCTCAGGGCCACCAGAGAGCAACGCAGAGCAGGATTCCACACCAGGTGTGTCTGATTGGACTCTCAAGCACACACACCCCTTCTCCGCTGCTCACTGGGGGGGACCAGGAGAACCAGTGAGGAAGAGGCGCGCTGGGGGTGGGTCAGAAAGCTGAGTACCGTTATCTTTGTTCCTGGTCCAGGAGCCCGTGGTTCCTCCTCCCCAGCTCCCATAAGTGGAGGTCTACGCGTCTGCTCCCTGGCAGCGGCCCTCCACTGGGGCCTGGCTTCCTTTTCCAGTAGGAGCGGGGACAGGTAAAGTCCATGAAGTGCCCCCAGTTGCTTTGAAACTGGAAGAGTGGTTCCCTCCGTGGCTCTGCAGAGACCTCTGCCCTGCTTGCTTGTGTTGGGAGAGACCCCCACGTTCTGCCCAGCCCTGGGGGCAGCAGAGGGTTGGGTGTGGCGCCTCCACCCCAGGGCCTGGGCCCAGTGCCCCTCTTGCCATCTGAGAGGGCCGGTTACTTGTGGACAGGCGGCGGGAGGAGGTGCAGTGAGTCATGGCCCCTCACGCGCCTGCGGGGCCTCCGTGTTTGCAGACATGCCCACCTTTGCTTGCCCCTTGGCAGCTCCACCAGGAAACGTAGCTCACAAAGGGCTGGCAGGTCTCACAAGGCAGGGACTCCGCACGTGCATGGCTGTTGAGCAAATGAATCTATTTCCACTTTGCAGCCCTGCTCTCTGGGGACTTATTTGTCAATGTGAAAAGAAATGATACAGGCACAGTTAGCAAATTCCGCCAACGTGTGCGATGGAACTCCCGGCAGAGCTGCCGGGAGAGGATGCTGAGGGTAGTCCCACCGACTCCTAGCAGGGGCAAACCTACAGGCTGGTGGGGCCGAGGCAGGAGCCAGACCTTTACCCAGTGTTTTCCCCAAGGGCCCGGGGGCCCCTCAGGAACTCTCACCATCCTCATGTCTGCTGCGAGTTCCCAAAATTCTCCCAGACATCGCAGCACTGCCGAATCCTCCAGCGACCCTCTCTGTAGCCAGCAGGCGCTGTGTGTGTTGGAGGTTGGGGAAGAACTAGGCTCTGAGTAACAGCACCTGGGATGAGGGGCCTGGATCTTCTAGAATCAGTCAGGGAGCCAACAAAGATCTGAGTAGTGCACATCCTGCATCCTGAACAGCACATGGCTGCACTTGAACCTGAAGCCCAGAAGGCCCAGGCTGACTTCTAAGAGACAACATTTCACACGGGAAAGTTTTATTATGTTTATAAAAGTTTCCTCTAATAAATGTATCCGATTCTTTTTTTCTCTCATTTATAACCTCTTCATAAAACACTGCCTGTTAGCACCAGGATGGCTGAATATCTGATTCGGGGATCCTGAGACCTTATTGATGTTATCTCCTCATGCAGTTGCTTAGGTATTTATTGCCTGTCTCACAGTTACATATACACCCTGGTGACGGCTGCCTTCCTGATAGCAATAAAACCTGAAGAATGAGGGGAACTTTTAAGCACCTATTTAAGAATTAACCTCTACTTCTCAAAGACAAAGTGAGTGATGTCTTGGGTACCACTCTGGGACATAGAGGGATGAAAGATGCTCATGGCTTTTCTCCCTCTTTCCTAAGGATTTATTGATGGGTAAAGCAGAGCCTCATTTCATCCTGGAAGGTGCGAGCAGATTTGACATCCAGCAAGGGAAGGCAGGTAAGAACTCACCGTCTTCTCTTCTGGCCTATCAGGGCAGGCTGCTCAAAGTCAGCCTCTGGATAGGGAGGTGTGGAGACCCTCAGAACTCTGTCCCAACTGCTGAGAGGGGAGGCCGGCCCCTCAGAGATGGACAGCCCATGTCCAGTCTGCAGCCTGCACGTCAGCTCAGCCATGGGTGTGCCATTGCAGTGAGGCATTATCGAAGAAAGGGAGAAAACGGACACAGGATTTAGTCTGAGCACTGGGTAGAGAGACGCATCCAGAAGATGGGAAGGAGAGAGAGACGGAGAAAGGGAAGCAAGTGTTCATTGAGCCTTTGCAATGCGGTGCTATATACTGTGCATGTGCTGTTTCCTTTACGCCCAGTAACATCCCCACTCTATACATATATGCAAAACCAAAGGGTCCAAGAGGTAAAATCATGTCTTTCATGTCACATAAACAATAAGTGACAGAGTTGGATTTGAATCCAGGGCTGTTTGACTCCCTCCCACCCACCAGACAGCCATGGATCAAAGTTGTTGCTAAGAGGGCTTGCCTTGAAGGAGGCCCCTGGGCCGGATCAGGAATGGCCGAGAGAAATCCCTGAGCCAGAAGCCCAGGAGTGGGGGGGTGGACAGGCTGAGAGAGGAAAGTGGACAGGGAATTAGGAGACAGCACAATCAGACTCTTCTAAGAACAGACTCTATATCCTTAAATGCCTGCCTACAAGTTATGCCTGCACCTGGACTTCCCCTGATGGAATCACGGTGTCTTGGGCTAAGTGGATAGAAGCCTGTGTTTCAGTGTTGGGAAGAGCCCCCAGCAGCTAATAATCCTCCGGTTAGAGCTTCCCCTATGTGAAGATGGGACCTCTATGAGGGCATTTCTGTGCCTGACACAAAATGGCATTCAAATAATTGATTGTGTTGAAGAAAAAGGAGGGAAGACTTAGGAGAAGGGGATGATGCTCATGCTCAAAGGGCTCACCATGACATCCAAGGAGAAACTCAAGGCTTCATTGCCCTCAAGGGGGAAGAGGAGAGAACCCCTGTGTGGGCTAGAGGGGCCCTGACACAGGGAGAGGCTGAGCAAGTATTAACAAAGAAAAGCACAAATCTATTTGCTGATAACAAAAGACACTGTCACTTTAGTTCTGAGCACCTCTGGCAAAATGAGAATCAGAAGACAAGGTGGCCCACCAGCCCTGCCAAAGCCTGGCTGGCGCTCTCCTGACCTCCCTCAAACCACCATCACTTCCACCAACACCTCCACCATCAATCACCCCCACCATCACCTCCACCATCAGTCACTCTCACCATCACCTCCACCATCAATCACTCCCACCATCACCTCCACATCAATCACCCCCACCATCACCTCCACCATCAGACACCCTCACCATCACCTCCACAATCACCCCCACCATCACCTTCACAATCAATCACCCCCACCATCACCTCCACATCAATCACCCCTACCATCACCTCCACATCAATCACCCCCACCATCACCTCCACCATCAATCACCCCCACCATCACCTCCACCATCAATCACCCCCACCATCACCTCCACCATTAGTCACCCCCACCATCACCTCCACCATCATCACCCCTACCATCACCTCCATCATTATCATCACCAGCTCCTCCTCTGTCTTACTTAGAACTGGCTCTAGTGAATCCTTCCTTCAATTCTCTCTCAGATAGAAAAAAAAATGCATTATTCAGAAGGACATATGTGGACTCTGGTAACAAAGACCTGCAAAATGCATGGGGTGGGGCTTCCAGTAAGCCTCTCACACTTGGTGTGTGTCCCCTCACAGGAGACTGCTGGTTCCTGGCAGCACTGGGCTCCTTGACACAGAACCCACAGCATCTGCAGAAGATCCTGACGAACCAAAGCTTTTCCCACCAGTATGCAGGGATTTTCTGTTTCTGGGTACGTGCACTGCTGGGATGCTCCCACATGGTTTTCTCTGAGCACAGGGGATGACTCTCTTAAATATTCCCTTGTCTGGCATCCTGAGATGTGGAAGAGGCACTAACTTATGTGTTAGTTACACTGCATAGCTCCAAGAAAGTATGTGAGCTCATAATCTGACAACGCCTGGGAAAGATGAGAGTAAAAATGTTCTCATGTAAATTGTTTTTATTTTTGTATTATGTATTCATTTACTTTTGAGAGCACTTTTGAGAGGACGGTGAAACAAGGAAAGGCTTAGGATAGAAGAAGCAACAGGAGAGAGCCTAGGTGGGGCTGCTTCGGCTCACTGAGAAATCAGAGAAAAGGGGCCTTGGGGACAAGCTCAGGGGGTTAATCCAGGACGAGCTGCCACTGCCTGTTGCTCCCCTGGTGGCAAGTCTCCGGGGTCCCTTAGAGGTTAGGAGATGTGTGCCTGTGGGGGAAGAAGAGGAGGAAGGGAGAGGCATGGGCATGCTCCTGAGAGGGTGAGTGAGCCCTCATGTAATTTTTTTAAAAGGCAGATGCAGTCACCAAAAGAAAAAAGGAGTCTTTGATCAAGAACCCTGTACATCATCGAGCTTTTGTCTATATCTAGTTTGTGCCATATCTGGTTATTTTTATCACAGTAGCTTGAGAATAAGTTGTAACATCTGGTAGGATGATTTCACCTTCATTATTCATTATTCTTTTCTCAGAAATATCTTGCTAATTCTTGCACATTTATTCTTCAATGAGAACTTTAAAATCATTGTGTCTAATTAAAAAGAAAAGCCATTGTGAGGCGAAGTGGAGCAGCAATAAATTTATGTATTAATTTGGAAAAATTACACTTTTATTATGTTAATGATTCATTCCAGAAACATGGTCTATCTTTCCATTTATTCAGAACTAGTTTTATACCCTTCAATAAAATGTTATGGTTTTGTTTTCATATTAGTGCTGTACCCTTCTTAGTAAATGTAGTCTCACATATTTTACGGTTTGTAGCTCATGTGAATGAGATTTTTCCCCTCATTTCTAACTTCTAGATATTGCTGAAAAGAGAAAAGCCACTCCTTATTAGATATTAAATTCTATCCAGCCACCTGATCACATTCCTTTATTTGTTCTAACTTTTTTCTTTAGTAGACTCTGGATTTTTTAGTTATCTAATATTTTCTGCAAATAAAGATGATTTTGTCTCTTCTTTTAATATTTATAGAAATTATTTTCCCTTGTGCCTTGTCTCTTAAGTTAGTACCTGACAATTTTGAATAAGAGTGACAAGAGCAAAACCCTGCCTTCTCTGGTTTTTAGTTATATATTTTCCTGGTGCTCTGTTCTTTAAATACACTGTTGGATTTAATTTGTTAAAAATTTGAATAGAATTATTGCATCTATGTAATATGTAGAATTGGAGTCTAGTTTTTCTTTAAATGTTTGAGTTTTACTAACTTTTTAAAGTGAACCCATTGAGCTTTACATACTTTGATCTGACATAATTTGAATAATGGTGCTATTCATTGGTTATCTTTTGTTTAAAAGTAAAATACATAACAGATCCAGATGATTGAGGCTTTGATTTATATAATTACTTTTAGTTATTTTCATTAATTCCCATTTATTTTCTCTTGGTTAATTTTATTGTGTTTTTTAAATTTTCTGAATCTTCACATTTAATATTATTAGTCTTTTTTTAATCATAAAAAATTTGAGACTAGAAAATTTCCTCTGAGATCTTATTTCTATCTATAGGTTTCAATATAAAATATCTTACTTTTATTAATTTTAATATAATATATTTTTAGTTTTGAGTACATTTTATAGGAAGGTCATCTTTTGGTTGTAGAGTTTTAGATTTATTAAATTATGGTAAAAAATATAGTCCATAAATCTCTATGTTTGGGGAAATTATTAAAGTTTTATTTATGGTCAAGTCCATCACATTTTTGTAAATGCTTCATTTGCATATTATATAATCTACAATCATCTCTTTTATCTTGGCTTATTTTTTGTCTGTGTGATTTGTCAAATTCTAAAAGAGGTGATGAAGTTCCCCAAAGTTAGAGTTTGGAGAGTTCCTCTTATGCTTTCAGATATTCTGGCTTTATATTCTTCCTGCTATATTCATTAGTGCCCGAAGATTCTTATTATCTGGTTGGTGAAATAAAGCTTACAAATATATCCCTCTTTGTCACATGTAATGCTTTAGGCCTTCAGTTTCTCTTTATGTGATATTCATATTGCTATTCCAGCTTCCTGCTATTTACATTTCCCTGTTACATCTTTGCTCATCCCTTCATTATTAATTTTATTTTCACCATTTGATGTTTCTTATACAATTTAAGCCTTACTTAAACCTTATCGCTCACCATTGTTTCTCTCACCCTTCATTTCCTCTTATTGAAGACTTTTGTTCTCATTTCATCATCATTCGGTAGGAATAGTTCCTTGAATAATTTCCTCAGATGGCATAAGTGTATTTTATTTGCTCTTTCTTAAGAATGATATTGCAATTGGGTTTTAAATTCTTGGATCACATTCCCTTTCCTTAAGACTCTATAAACATTATTCCATTGTCTTATAGGGTCCTATGTTGCAGAAGAAAAAACCCAATGCTAATCTATGCTCTTACTTTGTATGTAACTGGTTCTTTCAGACTACATATTAATAAGAGGCTCTTTCTCCCCTTGGTGTTCTGAAATTTCTCTGGAATATGTCCAGATTATGCCTTTTTAAAATCAATCTTGACTGGAATTTAGCAAGCCCTTTCTTTCTGAAGACCTGCTCCTTTTTTGCTCAGCTAAATTTCCCTCCATTATTTCTGGGCATCCTCCTTTATCCTGTTCTCTCCTCCTGAAGTCCAGTTATTTGCATCCTGGGTCTTCTAACAAGTGCCCAGGTAATGCTGATGCTGCTGGGCCAAGGAGCACACTGAGGAACGAGCTACAAGATGCAGAGTTCAGCTGTGTCTGCACTGCCTCGGGGCTGCAAGTGTTGGCTGAATGATAGGGACAACTTGAGGCCCAGGCAGGACACACTCTGCATGATCATATCTGATACAGGGGAAGTAAGTTGGTCAACATTACCAGTGTGGGAAGATGGGGTAAGGGTGACTTCTAAGGGGGAACCAACCAGAGGAGCTCCTTCAAGCCAGGACTCGTTCATTCTGCGTGACTGACTGTGCTCCAGGCAGTCTTAGGTGCTGAATGGAAAGGCTGTTATTGAAAAACAGTTTCTACTTTCAAAATTGCGATCTCACTTTCACAGTCTCATCTGATCCCAATTATAGCCCCAGAAGGCAGTTCTTACTCTCACCCCCATTTGACAGATGTGGATACTGAGACACAGAGAATTAAGTGTGTTACCCAATGTCTGTTGCTCAGATAACTAAAGACAAAACCAGGACTCAAGCACATTTCCACTGACTGGGTACTGTCTACCACACTTGGCTTTCCCATTAAACCCAAATCCAGATTGGGTTATCCTTCCAGGGCCCTCTTCTAAGAGCTGGGATTAGCTTTCCTTGGCGCTTCAGCCACATTTCACGATCTCCTTCTAATAACATCCCTGCTGGCTCTCGACTTCACCCACCGATGCATCTTCATTGCAATAGGGACACGAATCCACAGCGGTGCCAGAACTGACCGCAGTGCCCGGGTTCATTAGTGACCATGAAAACATCTTTGATTTGTCTCCACTGACACCTCTATCTTGGTTTCCATTTCTGCTTTGAAAGTGTGTTCTCAGGCCCAACATCTGGGATATCCAGCTGTGGAAAGGCCCTGTGGATGGCTTCCTGTTATTGCCAAGCAGATGATAGATCGCATCCACCCAGGTTTATGTTGAGCCCACCTGTCGGAGACTTGCCTTCATCAAGGTTCAGGCCTGAAGCCGGAAGCCCTGCTGCTTAGCCAGCACAGGAGAGACCAGAGAAGAGACTCCAAAAGGCCGGCTGTATTATGGATTTTCCTCATTTGGCGATGTCCTGGGTGATCCATTAAGAGTTGAATGCTGAGGATTAAAGCAGTCTGTTTTGGAGAGGAACATCTGCTTCATTTGTGCTCTTAGCAGGAGCAGCGCCAGCCGGTGTCATTTCTGCTGCTCTGATGGCAGGGCCAGAGCGAGGCTGTAACTGCTCAGTCCTCCTGTGCACTGCTCATCCTGCGGCCCCTGGGCCTTCGCCCACGCTGTCCCTGCCATCTGGGATGCCTTTCCCGCCTCTTCTCCACCTGCCCCGCCCGGCCTCCTCCCGCCAGCCTTCAGCTCCCAGCAGGCTCTCCTTCCCCATGACAGCATCTGTATCTGCCACTCTGCTTTGTCATTCAGCATCTGCTTCCCCCACTGCCCTTCTGTGCCCGGCTACACCAGGAGAGTCTCCTGCTCAGAGCTCACAAAGGACTCGCCAAAATGAGGCCAGAGTTAGGAGCAAAGTCTAGCTAGAACCTAAGTCTCCTTCCTCTCTGCTGGGCTGTATTCTCCTTGACTAACTTGGTCTGTGACTCATTTTCTCCATCTGCCAGTGGAGATGACATCCCCTGTCCATCAACGTGGGCTGAGATTTGTTCTGGATAGCGTTCATTTTTGCCTTGTGGAGGTTATGTGGTGACGGTGGTTATCTTCTGACACAGGTTGCGGGTCCAGGAGCTCCCTTACCCCAATGCTATTGAGCTGTATATTCATCTCTCTTCCAGTTCTGGCAGTGTGGCCAGTGGGTGGAAGTGGTGGTTGATGATCGCCTGCCTGTCCTGAACAGGAAGTACCTCTTTGTGCATCCTCTCAACAACCAAGAGTTTTGGCCGTGCCTGCTGGAGAAAGCCTATGCCAAGTAAGGACGGGCTCGCCCCTCAGCCCAGGGTCTCGATGCTGCCCCGCCTGTGCAGCTGCTGGGCCTGGCAGGTGCTTCCCACCAGCCGGCCCAAGACTGTCGGCAGCTTTGCTGAATGCAAGCGATGCCCCTGGGAGCATCAGAGCCTTTGCACCTCACTGGGCATCCTCCATAAACAGTCACTGTGTGCAAGGCTGTATTGGGCCCTTGGGAGGGACCCAGAGGCACCTAGCAAGGGGTGGGCAGGGCAGGGCTGGACAGAGATATGCACTGGCAATGATATTATTGCAAGGGCTGGTAGAGAGCTCAAATAAAATATAATATCGTGGTCATAGTCTGCTGAGAGGACAAAGGAGAGAGAAAACAATTCTGACTTTCAGACTCACAGAGTCAGTCTGAGGCTACACAGAGGGGATGGCATGGAGTGAGGCCTTGAAGGATGGGTAGATTTCAGCAGGGGAAGAAGTATGTGGGGGAGGCATCCCAACAATGGGAAACAATGGGAATGATTCCAACAGAGAACCAGGGGAGGGACAGTTCAAAGTGAGGTCGGGTCGGTGGGGGCCTGCTGGGGCTGCTGTGGGATTGCATTTATGTGGGAGGTTGGGGGAGATGTTGTTCAGTGTGATATGGTCCAAACACCATGATGCGGTGCTGTCTCCTGGAATTGACAAGCTCAGGGACTTACAAACACCCCAGTTCACGTTTTGCTTAGATTCTTTTGGGCTACTTTTATTCAACAGAAGTTCATTGAGCATTTAACCACAGGCCAGGTTCTGTGCTTGGCACTGGGTTATAGACTCTCAGACTGGTTCATGTAGGTGTGTGTGCGAAAGTACCTGTGTGTGTAAGAAGTCATTTTCTAAAGAACCACACAGGCGAGGGACACATCAGAGCTAGAAATCAACACTAGGAGACGAAAGCCAGAGGACCCTGCCTTTCAGGAGAAAACGGGCAGTGGAGAGTGTTGCCTCATCAGGTTTCCTAAAGGTCATCCTAACCAGCCCCTCATGCCCAGGCTCTGGATGGTGATGTGACCCAGGTGTAAGTAGTTGGCCTGAATCTGCTGAGGTCCTCGGTCATGTGACAGAAGACATCATTTAGCAAGACCGAAGACCGGGTCCAATCCCATCCGGGGCCCTCCCTGAGGGGTGGCGACAGCGCAGACTATCCGGCCCCTGTCCTTCTGGGGGGTCACAAGCTGAACAGCAAGACATCTTGACACCTCTTTTTTTGCCTCCTTCCTTTTGAGCCAACTTGTCAAAAAGGAAAGCAGTTGCTCTCTCCAGTGTCAAGAAGAGCTGTTGGTTAGGATTGGAGAGTGAAGCCCAGATCCCAGTCTAGGTTATTGAACCAATTCATGTGCTTGGGAGGTTCATTCACAAACACTGCCACTATCTTTCCAGTATGGAGTCAAGCCTCACCCCTTCGGGGCCTTGTTTCTCCTCATGTAAAGGGGGGGGGGGTGCTGAGGGGGAGCTGGCAGCTCACAGGGAGAATCAGAAAGCCTGTGGAATGGAATGATGACTCTGACCCCATTTTGTTAACAGCTGACCTAAGGCATTCAGTCATTCAGCTTGAAAAGAAATAGGCAACTGGACCCTGAATCCACATTCCACTCCCTAAAGAAATGTAGCCGAGGATAAAATGCTTCAACTATTAAGCTGTTTCAAAGCTTTCCCTTTCATCCAAAGGAGGAAGTAACAGAATGCAGGAGTGAGTTGGGTAGGATCACAGCCCATCAGAGCTGCAGCGCCGCTGTCAGCACCCCCTGGACCTTCTCCTTTGGGATGTGAGGGGACAGGCTCAGAGAGGTGAGATGACTTGCCCAAGGTCACAGGGACTTTGAGGCCACGCTGGACGGAGAGCTGTTCTCCGTCGGCACATGCTTTTCCATCATCCCTTCATGCTGTCAGCCCTTTGGGAAAGGAGTTGTCTTTTGCTTCTTTGGTGCTCAGTGTCTGTCACATGGGGACCACAGCACGGACACAGAGAAGCTTTCTGTCCAGACGAGATGGCCCTCTTTCCCTCCAAGGGTGTAGGCACTGAGAAGTGAATACGTGGCCTCCAAACTTCCAACTCTCCTGCGGCTGGGAGTCTGGAAATGCACTGGTCAGGGCAGCCAAAGGGGGTGAGGGGAAGGAATCTGTGTTTGCAGATTTTTCCCCCTGAGGTCATAAAACAGAGAGGAGATTGGGGGCAAGATCAGGTGGGCTGCATGTCGTCCCTTCTAGAATCTCTGCAGTTAAGAATTGCAGCATTTCCGTATCCTTTCTGGCTCTGATTTAGACATCTGAATCCCTCCCTCTTTCATATAGTTTCTGGAAAGATAGACATGTCCCCAAAATGAGGCAGAAGCAAACGGATGAGAACAAGGCTCTCTCGGAATTCCTGGATTCGGGTGATGAGGCGCAGTGACAGGTGTGGTGAGCACAGTGCTCGCTATCTCTCCTTCCCCTTCGCTCTCCTGTCAGCAAAGGGGGCTAAGAATAGCTGCCATGTTCCTGACGCATCAGCAGGATCGGTGAGCCCGTGCTGGTGAAGCAGAGAGGTAGCGCCCGCTGGGACGGGCTGTGGGCACTGCAGAGAGCCAGTGAGAGGCTGTGAAAGGCACGGAAGGGGGCTGCTGGCCGCGGGTCCTGTGCTTGCATCGGCTGTCTCGGTGGTGACTGCAGAACGATGCGGGTGCAAGACATCGGCCAAAGCCACAGACCCTGAGGACGCGGGCCTGAGGTGACAGGGCAGAGCCCGGAAGCTGCTTTTCTGGGGTGACTCTGCTGCAGCCCTCTTTGAAGCTGGGGGCTAGGGGAGAGCCATTGCAGGGCCGGAGGCCACATTGCTGGGCTCAGAAATGGGTCTCTGAACTTGCAGTGCCCTCAGCAAAGCCCTCCCCATCTAAGATCAGGAGCCACAATACCTGTGGGAAATCAGGAGAGGCAGACATTCACACCCAGCCGGGCACAGTCATGATCCAAGGCAAACTTCGCTGTTGACCAAGCAAACACCTCAGAGATAAGAGTCTGGTACCGGGCATAACCCTGAGTCCGAGAGAGGGAGCGAAAGATAAGATTGAGAACCAGTTTGATAACAAGTTGAGATCAGTCACGCGGTTGTTCCCATGGAATGGCTATTTTGTTCCGTGTATCCTTCACGCTCTTTACTAAAAGACTTTTTCTAAGCCATCCACGGCATTTTTGCCTGGGATGGTGTCCCACTTACAATGGCTGCTTGATACGTATTTGCTGAAGTGAATTTACGTGAATTCTGGGTGATACTCTGGAGGAGAGAAGGACAGAGGTGGAAATGGGGTGAGAAAAGAGTGTCTGAGGAGCCCCCAGACCTGATCCAGCCAACCTCACCATTTCCAGGTGAAAGGCTGAGGACTGGGATGCGGGGGGGAGGTCTTGTCCAAGGTCACAGGCCCATTAGAGGCAGCCGCAGGTTTAAACCCAGGCCCCGATGCCCGTGTGACTTGCATTTCCAGAAAGAAGGCTGTGGTAGGAATGCCGCTGCCGCTGGCCTGTGAAGGGCTTGGTGTCTGCACCTCCGTTGCCTCTGTTATCTCCCTGGTGCTGCTGGGTGATAAATCTGAGAATGGGAACGGGAAACCGGGTCAAGGTTTGGGCAAGTGAGAACAGAGGCTGCCTTGGCCTCCGCAGCCATCAGGGCGGTTGCCCATGAGCTCTCTGAGGGCAGAAATGGGGTCCCGTTCACCTTTGAATGCTCAACACCTGGCATGACACCCCACACACAGTAAGCACCTACCATTACTGTTAAACTGAACAGGAAACAGTGGATACTCATCATAATAATATCCAGTACTTATTAAGGACTTGCCATGAGCCAGGCCCTAGGTCCAGCCCCATGAGGTTAAGTAACTTGTCCAGGGTCAAGCAGCTAAATACGGGGTGAGGTTGGGATCTGACCCCTGGCCTGCAGCTCCAGCACCTGCACTCCTGACCTCTACACAACACTGCCGCTCGCAGGGCTGCCCAGGCCCCGGGAGACTAGGCTGCAGGTGGCAGATGCCTAGAGTCTCCATCCAGGTGAATGGAAGGTGGCTGGCCGTGGTCCAGGGTGGACAGACAGTCCATCACCTGCAGCACATGCAGAGGTCAGCTGCGCAGCCTCCCTTTCCGAGTGTCTCACTGATGGCACCACAGGGTTTGGGTCTGACTTTCCCTCCCAGGTTCCGCGGATCCTATCAGCACCTGCACTACGGCTACCTCCCCGATGCCCTGGTCGACCTCACGGGAGGGGTGGTCACCAGCATCAGCCTGCACTCCTCCCCTTCTGACCTAGTGACGATGGTAAAGACCGCTGCCAAGGCAGGCTCCCTGATGACCTGTGCCACGCCGGCCGGGGTGAGTAGACCAGGAATCCTTCGCATGGGTCCGGGCCTTTCCTCACCTGGCGTGTTCAGCCACTGGCTCCTTCAGCTAGGGAGGGAGCGGTCAAAGCCACCTACTGGAGCACAGTCGGTCATGCTGTGCTTTACCGAGGTCACGTCCTTCAATTCTCAAGACAGCCCTCCCTCTGAGATAGGATTGCAGGATTCACTGACAGAAGAGGAAATGGGCTCAGAGAGGCCAAGGAAAATGCTCCCGTCACACAGCCAGCAGGTCACTGAGCAGGGCTTCAGATGCTGCTCTGTGACCTCAAAGCCTTTGCCTATTACTTCCCGTGACCAGAAGCAATGGGTCCAGAGTGAGCGGCTGGGGGGCCTTTGATTCTCAGTGTTTCTTTACAAAGGCAGCCTCCCAAAGGCAGCATGGGCCGTTTTGAAAAGTCTGGATGAGCCTCCAAATTATTAGTCTGTTCTGAGATGGCCAGCTCCCTACTCCCAAGGTGAGGATGCCTCCTTCACTCTTGAAACATGTGGACTTTGAGCCACACGTTCCTAATCTGAAACACCACCCAAAACTAAGATGCACTTCAAACCCCAGTCACTCGCAGCGGGGTGGGGAAGCCCAGCAGACGGGTTCCCTGCCGTTTCAGGGATGGCGAGTGACTGGGGGAGCAAGCAGCCCTCCCCCCAGGTCCTCAGGCTCTATCAGTCATGCAGTGGGTGGTCTCTTGAGGTATGAAATGCCTGGGGCCTCAACCACCCAGCAGCCTTCAAACTCCACCTGTAGAGACGAGTCCCAGGAATGCACGCCCTTCAGCTGGAGTCCGTAGGACACTTTTCACCAGGGCCGGCTGCGGCGCGGCCCAGGGCCCATGAATTGTGCTGTTCTCTTTCTCGGGAGAACCTGTGAAAGTCTAAAGCATGGTCTGCTTTTCTCCCGTGAAGCCGACAGGGGAAGCCACAAGAATGGAGAATGGCCTGGTGAGCCAGCATGCCTACACCGTGACTGGGGCCGAGCAGGTAAGGCTCCATGGGCTGGGCCCCATGGTCTTGCTCCTTGGAACAGGCGTCAGAACCACATGCCTCAGCAGGCCCAGCAAAGCTGCAGTGAGTGTTTATCTTCTTACCTGTGGTGGCGCCTATCACAGACAGCTCGGTCCTTCTATTCGTCCAGAAGTTCTGGTGCCCAGTACCCTCACCCCCCAGGGATCCTGCTCTTCTTGAGGGCTCTCGGGCAGGATGAGGGGCTAGCTGGACTGGTGATTACCCCTAAAGAACGCAGAATGAATTAGCCAGTAGACTCTAGGGGAAGTTTTGCCCTGAAGAGTTTTAGTTGTAACATACCAACTAAACTACTGTACCAGACGCTCCAAAATACAGGGCTCAAACAAGGGAAAGTTTGTTTTACTCTCAGATAAGCAGGCGGTCTGAGAGCTAGTAGGTGGCTCTGCCATCCACAGCATTGGACTTCCCCCTGTGAGCCCCGGGCAGCTGCCCCAGGCCCCCTCCTCATCTGGCCAGGGGAAGAGGAGGAGGCCAGGGGAAAGGGATGCATCCTTTTGGGAGGAACACATTGGGAAAGGCACACTCTCAGATTCCATTAATCTGAACATGTGGTCACACTGAGGTGCAGGGAGTCTGGGAAACATACTGTCTAGCTGGACCACCACATGCCCGACTGGAACTTTATTCCCATGGAAGAGGGCAGGGTAGCCACGGAGGACAGTCTTTCCCTTGATATAGAACTGACTGTGTGCACAAAATCGTATGTAATTACTGTGGGCAGTAATTTCCAGTCCAGAAAATACTACTAATGTACAGCTTCCTCCATTTGGAAGTGAAGAAGCGGAGGCCTGGGAGGGGACCGTCTCTCACAAGGTCACACAGCTACTTGAAGTGGCCGGGCCGACACCACAGCTCCTTGGTGCCCATCTACGTTTATCATGCAGCCATGCGGTGACAGCGCTTCCTGGCCTTGTGATGACATCCCACTAAGGTTCCCCATCTCTGTACTTCCCACAAATCCCGAGTTGTAATACTGTCTACCAGGCCCTACCAGATAGCATCCCAAACTCCAGGGAACATTTTTCACAGGCATTTGTGGGCCAAGGAAAGTGGAGTGCTGGGATCTGTTTCTAGCATGCTTTCTCCTGCTGGCCTTCCCTCTCTCTGTATCAACCTGTCTCTCCTGTCCATCGACCTAAGGCCACTTGCTCCATTGTTTCATGTTTTGGGGAGTGTTCCAACCCACAAAACAAGGACAAAATCTTATGTCTCCCTAAAGAAATCAGTAACAACTACTTCCTCTGCACAGTACCTGGGAAACAGTAGGCACCTACCATGCTAGTTGGATCAACGGATGGGTGCCCTTGTATGAGTGAGTGAATGCATTCGTCCTTGGCCTATGAAGGTGACATCATTGATCCTTCATCACAGATCATACGTGATGAGCTCAACACACATTTCCCACAAGCAAGGAAGGGGTTGTCCTGATACACCCAGGCCAGAAGAGATCCCAGTCCCAGTGGCTCCAGACTCCCTTCCTCTGAATTCTCCCAAGCCCTTCCCTGAATTCTCGGTAGGGACAGCCAATACCATCATCAAGCTTGGCTCTATGTCCAGGCACTGCTCCCCACACCTCCCCTGACCCAGATGTGGACAAGTTTGGGCTAGAGACAGCAAATCAGTTTTCTTATGTGTCAAACTTTATCATTGGCCATGCTCCCTGGATGGCTGTATGGGCAAGACTTTGGCACTGCTTCCAGATCTGGGGCAAGAGCTGTGATTGGTGATGGTATCTGTGCTGGGCATGGAATGGAAGAACCATGGTGCCTGCATGATGCATCTGCCATTCCTGGACCCGGCCCTTGTTATTCACTGAGACAGTCTTTGTTTATCCTCTGAACACAGGCGAGAAGGGACTTGAGTGTTGAGAGGTCCAGATGGCCATGGATGTGAGTCCCCACAGAGGCTGGGCATGGCGAAGGCAGAGACCGTCAGGCTATCGAGCGGCATGTATACACCCAGGGCCCAGGGAAGGGAGGTGAACTCAGGACTCGGGCTGTGGGGGTTTAGGCTCCAGATGATTCCTTTCACTATGTGAGTGTTTGCTCCCCCACAGCACACACGTTTGTTCCTGTAATATAATAAGTGGTCTGAACAGGACACCCCCCCCCCGAAGGCAGGTGATGAAGACTTCATGTCCTGTAGGCGCTGTCCTGCCCCTCTATGGCTGCTGACACTCCCCAGCCTGTGCTGTAAGGAGCACCAGCCTGGTGAGATCTCCTGCTTGGAGATTCATGATGGACATTAACATTTTAAAGGCTCTGAGAAGGCCTGTATTCACCAGACAGGTACCGCTTAGTGTTAATCAACCTTGAAACCCTTTTCTAGGGATAAGCATTAACAGCCTATGGGTCTACCATCTGAGAGAATACATTTAAGGAAATACTATCTTAGGATAGAGAACCTGGATTAGCTCTCGTCTGGAATGGACTCCTGGGCCACCCGGCCACGGTCCATGTGATCCCCAGGAGGGCACTGACAGGAAAGGAGAGGCAGAGTCGGACAAGGGGCCAGGAACTTGCCTTAGTGAAAATTTCTCCTCCAGAAAGAGGAGGTTATAACTCTCTGCAAGTGTGAAGATTAAACCAGCCCATAAATGCCGTGTGCTTTTTAATCTGCTCATCCTCCCTCTGGGCGGGACACGGACAGGAAGATAAATGAAATTGGCATTTTTTATTATGTTCCTAGCTTGGTCCATGACTCCCCTGGGCAAGGGGTGAGTGTTTATCTGCACGCCTCATTTAGCCCTCTTCCAGCCCCCTCCGGTCACTGGCCACTCTTCTCCCCTGGGCCCAGCTGAGCCCTTGACTGTCTGTTAGGCACTGAGGGTGGCTCATTAAGCTCTTTGGGCCACGGGGCGACCATTACTCATTCCTGCTTTGTGGGCACCACCAGGTGCTGGCAGTCAGTACGTTGTGTGCAAAGCCTGGGGTGCTCTGGGGTAGGGCAGAGAGGGACAGGAAACCTGGGTTTGAGCGAGGAGCCCTCTACCCCCATCCTATGTGGCATTTAAAGCCAGAGGGGCTTCCACTGAGGTGCCAGTCAAAGATAGAAGCAGACAAGGAAAAGCCACAGAAAAGAGCATTGCTCAAGCTAGGGTCTTGGGACCTCGTCTCACTGCATTGCTCTGTCATGGCAATGCTTTACTGGTGATCCCATGGGCCTTGGCCAGGTGCGTAGGTTATATGCGGGGTCAGGTTCACAGCCACATCAAAGAATGGGCTGGGCACTGGAGCAGCTGTTCCTTTATTTCTCTCCCCCCCACCCACACACCCCCGCTCCCCCCTCTCCCTCCCTGGTTCCAAAATTAAGAGCCTGGGCTTTGGAGAGTGACTGTGGCTAGGGTCAGAATTCTGCCTCTGCCACTTACTCTATGGCCTTGAGAAAGTTGCTTAACCTCTCTGATGCTCAGTCCCCTCCTCTGCAAGACAGCGATTGTGTGAAAATCTACCTGCGAGGATTGAAAGGTGTAACGCACGCACATCAGGACTTGGCCAGAGCCTGGTTCCAAGCACACGGGTTCTTTTCCATGTGACAATATTCAGCTCAGCCTCCTCTGACCTGGAGTCATTGAACAAGTCCGCCCCCTCCCTCACCCCCAGGCCCCTGTCTCCGCAGACAACATTAGCACAGATCAATATCCCAGCTACAGCTCGATCATACTTTAATTTCTCTCGCCAGGCTGAGCGCTGCTGGATCCGGGACTGTAGGTCCAAGGGTCGCCATTATTTCATTGTAATTTTTCAATAGTTCTGCCCTCTGGCCTCAAGTGGTCTGAAAAAGCAAATGTACCAACTCCCTTTCTGGGAGTGAGTGATGAGGAGGTCCCCGGGGGAAAGGCAAGGCCAAGCCACAGAGGCTCCCTGCTCCAGAACAGAGATAGGGGCGCAGGATGAGGCGGGCTACCCCCCCACCACCACCACCCCCCCACCGACATCTCCATTTCCAAGTGGTCCCAGTCTTGCTCAATCCTCCTGTGAGACCCAGCACTGCTCCCAGTGGGCGCCTGGCAGGGAAGCAGCAAGAATGGGGTAGAGATGCCGGCTGCGGCAGGGCCTGGAGGAAGCTTGAGACCCACACGTCCTTCCCTCTGCAGCTGGAGGCAGCATCCATGCTATTTGCCTGCTGTTAAATCAGCTCACCCCGGTTCTGGGGTTCAGTCGGAAGGAACGATGACGTGGCCCCTGCTCAGCGAGGTGCTGAGCAGGAGCCATGTTCTCCTCTGCCTCATTCCAGCTCCATGCAGGCAGCAGGCATTGATTTTTATTTTTCCTTATTTATTTTTTTTTCTGGCTGCAGCCAAATGAGGTCAGAAGTTAAATGAGTCCTTGGAGGTAAAGAGCAGCTGCATTCATATCCCCTCTTTCTGCTGACTTTGGCTGGAGGCCTCTGATGGTGTCCTTTTCTCTTCCTTGCAGATTCAGTACCGGGGGCGCTGGGAAGACCTTCTCCGCCTGTGGAACCCCTGGGGCCAGGACGAGTGGCAAGGGCGCTGGAGTGACGGGTATGGTTTCTGAGAACCTCTCTATCTCTCACCGAGCCCCCTGTTCAGAGAGGCCCCTGCCCCGTGGAGTCGTCTCCCCTGCTGTGAAGCTCACTGCAGGCTTTTCCAAATCACACCTGCCTGACTGTCAGTCCGTCTCGCACTCCCATGAGGCCACTCACCAGACATCTATTAGACACTGACTGTGTCCTGTCTGTGCTACATGCACTGTTGGGTGGGTGCTGTGGGACATATACAGATGACAAGGCCCAGTGTCTAGAAGGTCACAGTCTAAGCTTTGGAGCCCATACCCAGAATTGGTTGAAAACATGAAAATAAAAAGTGGAGGCAGAGCAGGAGCCGAGCTCCACCTGCCAGGAGAGCGGAGAGAAGGCCCTCACCCCATCACTGGGTCTGCTGGGATTCTGTCCTGATGACGCCGTGTCCTCAGGGTGAAAAGACTTCTTTAGGGGGAGGGGGTTAGGGAACTGAGACAAAGGTCCGGATGGATATCGTTTTACTCAGTCCGGCTGGGTCGACGCCCTGCCCTACTGACCGGACTCGCTGTGGCTGGTGCCGGACCAGCACTTTGCTCGGAGTAGGAATGGATGGAGCTGACCGGGTCTCATCTACCCCTGCTGGCCATGCCCCGGGTAGCTGCTCTCAGGCCCAGCTGACTGTGGGGATACAGCTGTGTGGTCAGAGGTTCCCAGAAGCTGGGCTGGCATTTCCCAGCTGCCAGGAGGACTAGTCCCTGAGCCCCACCCCCTTGCTGACTGGGAATGAGATGACGGTCCTGAGGACAGAGGGACGGTGACACTTACTTGCTGCCCTGGGCGGCCGGTGGGGCCCAGCTCGTGGCGCTCCGCTGGGCCCATAAAGGTGTTCCTCTGATCATAAAGGTGTTGATCCGCATGGATCAGCGGCCACAGCAGCGGTGCTGGTGGGGAGGGAGGTCGGGGTGTGGGGAGGAGGCAGGAGCGGGAGAGAGAACAGGATTTGAAAGGCAATGCAAAGCATTTAGACAAACAGAACAGAAATCCAACAAGCAGTGAAAGCGCAGTGAAAAGTGAGTTCCAGAAGGCGAATGCACAGGTGGCCAGTGTCTCAGCCCCAATTTTCACACCCCTTCCCCCCACCGCCCAGAATGTGGTCCAGCGGCCCCAGCCAGGCTGTGGCAGGGACTGTGACCCTTTGTGAGCCCCAGTGGCTGACGGCTGACGGGTGAGCCTGCACAAGGTGGCCCTCAGCCTTTGGGAGATGGAAATGCCATCGGGATAGAGGGAAGGATCAGGGTCCAGGAAAGGAAAGCAAGGGAGAGGGGAGAGGGAGGATACAAGCCACATGAATTCACAGCGTAGACCTGGTGTGACCTCAGATGCCCCTGGAGCACTGAGCTGCCGAACCCCCTCCACAGAGGGGAATGAATTTGCAAAACCAGGAGCCACTGAACAATGTTTTCACTCTGACCCTTTCTCCATTTTTCTTGCCTCTATTCTTCCTTCCTTCCCAGGGCTACCCTTTGCCCTTTCCAATGTAAATCCTTTCCAATTCTCCTTCCCAATCATCACCCCAAGCTGCCAAATAAAATTTCGGGGGCGGGGGGGGGGAGTGACATAAAAGCCAGAGTCCCTGATTCCCATTTGGCTATGGGGCTAGGATGGGGGAGGGTCCAATGTCAACGACATTCCCCTGGGGTAGGAGGACAGGCATGAATTCATGAGTTGATGTTTTGTTGCCCAGGCCTCCCAGGCTAAATATCAAATGACAGGGGAGGCAGCAGGGGATGCGGGACGTCAGGGACCGGAAGCCTCTGGCGGGTGGGCACATGTTCAGGGAAAGCTTGAATGAGGTTGAACTTGAGTTCAACTTCCAAAAGCAGGTATGGCTCCCTGCAGAAGAGATCACTGCGTAGGAAGGGACCTGTAGGCCACCTGCTGAGCCAGGAACATTTACAGTGTGTTCAAGGCCAACAAGTTGGCCTGGGGCAGAGGATCTGGGGAGAGAGGTGTTGGGAGCTGGGGCTGAACCCCATGCCAGCTTAGACGTTTGGATTTACACCCTGTGAAGGCCTCTGAGCAGGAGAGGGATGTGTACACCGCAGGGACCGACTCTGTAGGGTCAGGTGTTTGGGCTGAACATTGAGGTTCGCCATTTCCCACCAGAAACCAAGCTGGAAGGAAGCGACAGGACTGCATGAGCACTGTCTCCATGCAGGTGGTCTATTTCCTCTCTCCTCTTTAAAGAATGGGGGCGGAAGGAGAGAGCCGGATGGTCTAATCCCAGCCACAATTGAAATTTCAGTTGCACACACTTGAAGGCAAACTTGCATGAATCGATAGCGTATTGATTTACACTACATTTATTTTCCCTTACACACTGCAGAAAATGTAATTATCGCTTAATTATAAAATTGCCATTTTACAATAGCACATCTGACTGGCTCAGCCTGCAGCCTGGACCTGAGGGGTGGTGCCTGCCTGGCCCTCCCAGCACAGAGGTGGCCCGCCCCTCCTCGGCCCTCGAGGAAAGCCACTGGCAGAGAAAGATCTCCTTGCCCGCCTGTGCCTCTGGGCCCGTGGCCCCTGAGCCTGCCTCCCCATTGAGGAGTAGGCTGAGGAGGGGGCACCTGTTCCCTTCTGCCTGGGAGGGTCTCCTCCTTCATCCCAGGTCCTAGGACCAGCTTCAGGAACACAGTACCTCATGAAGTGGATAATTTTAATTATTAAGCAAGCAAACAATTAGTGCATGCCTACTGTGTGCCAAGGCATGTGTTAAGCCCCATGATGATAGCATTACCATGGTGAGCAAGGCTCACCGAGCACGTGGAACTTGGAGGCCAGTGAGGGGACAGTCAATCAAGCTTCTTTGGAGAAGACCATGATGCTGGGAAAATAGAAGGAGGCAGGAAAAGCGAAAGACCGAATGTGAGAGGAAATGACTCCATAAAGGAAGCCCTAGGCAGGAGCATACAGAAGCCGAGAGGGCTGATGAGACATCACTCATAAGGCAGCCAGGAGTCAGAGCTGACTCAAAGGCAAGTAACACAGAGACAGTAACAAGCAACACAGGGTACCCTGTGCTGAGACAGGAGTGGGAGAGGGTGCCATGGAGCTCAAAGGCAGGGGGGCATTGACCCAAGGTGGAATTGAAGTGGGAGAGGGGGACAAGCAAAGCTTCCAGCCAAAGTGCCTTTTAGGAGGAAAGAAAAGTGACATTCCTGGGTTACAGGACAAAAGGGAGAAAGACTGTAACAGGCAGAGGGAGCGTCATGGTGAAGGCCAAGAGGCAGGAGGGAGAATAACGGGATTTCTAAGGAAGCGATGACGTTCATTCTTGCTGGAGTGTAGCACTCGAGGGTGGGGGTAGGGAAACAGGTCAAGTGCTTGGGTCAAGCCGGAGGGTTGGGCAGAGGCCAAGGTGCTGTCTCAGGAGTTTGACCTTCATCCTGAGCATCAAAGGCAACTGCTGATGTGTTCTAAGCGGGGAAATGCCATACTCAGATTTCTGGTTTAGAAAAATCATTTTGAGGCCAGTGTGGACAATGGGTGGGAAAGTGGGCAGGGCTGAGCCCAGGGAGGCCAGTTAGAAGCCGAAGAGGGAGATGGGGGTCTAGGGAAACAGCCATGGGGATGGAAACATGTGGGTGGCTTTGGGAGGGGTTTGGGAGCTGGAATCAAGAAATCATTATTATGGGTGATTGGATGTTCTCGCTCGGGCACCAGGAGGAGGCAGAGGGGAGTCCAGTTTGGGACGAGGTGGTTTCGAGGTCACTGTGGGGCTCTGGTGGAGACATGGGATGGACCCTGGCATGTACCCACCCAAAGCGCTGACAAGAGGGTCGAGCTGGAGAGAGAATGACTGATCCTGTCATGAGGTAGAATGACACCCTCCACTTGTACCCAGGCACCGGTGCTCCACTTGTACCCAGGCACCGGTGGAGGCCACGTGTGGCTGAGATGAAACGCTCTGGGAGGCCTCACCCTATGGTCTATCTGTCCACACCCAGGTCTCCGGAGTGGCAGGAAACCCGGGACCCACGGAAAAGCCAGCTGTATGAGAACAAGGATGATGGCGAGTTTTGGTATTTACTCTTCTTTTAAAATTGTATTTTAAATCTTTAACAGTTGCCCACACCCTCAAGCGTTCCCCTTTCCCTAAAGTTTTGTGAGATTAGAGATTGGCTTTGCAGAGAGCTGTGTAGAGGGAGCCTTTTTTCTCAACTGAGACAGATGCTTTGAATGGGCAATTCCTGGTGTGTTCTCGCTTTGGGTGATAGATGCTTCATCTCTGAAATATTGGAACTTCCAGGAAATGTTAAGGGTAAAAGGAAAATTGGCACCGGAGCTTGGAAACCAAGTTTCCTGGAAGCTGGGGTGCATGGTTTTCATGCCTGTTATCTCCTGTGCTTCTTAATAAATATGTTTTTACTAGAGGCCCAGTGCACAAAATCTGTGCACTGGGGCATGGTCCCTCAGCCTGGCCTGCACCCTCTAGCAGTCTGGGAGCCCTCGGGGGATGTCCAGCAGCCGGACATCCTTAGCGCTGCTGCAGAGTCCATGAGCCCGGGTTCTGGCTGAGCAGTGCTCCCCCTGTGGGAGCGCACTGACCACCAGGGGGCAGCTCCTGTGTTGAGAAACTGCCCCCTGTTGGTCAGTGAGCATCATAGCGACCAGTCGTTCTGCCATTAGGTCAATTTGCATATTAGCCTTTTAATATATAGGATTGATTTCAGAGAGAAAGATAGAGGGAGGGAGAGATAGAAACATCAATGATGAGAGAGAATCATTGATCAGCTGCCTCCTGCACACCCCCTGGAATTGATCCTGGAATCCTGGCATGCGCCCTGACCGGGAATCAAACCAGTGATCTCTTGATTCCTGGGTTGATGCTCAACTGCTGAGCCACACCCCGCTGGGCTCTCCTGTGCTTCTTGTTGGGAGCTGGGGGCTCCCCAGTTTTCCTGCAGGAATTCCAAAAGAGTTAGCTTGTTTCATGGCCCAGCCCAGGCTCTAGAGCTCACAGTCAGACACTGGTGTCTCCGCCCAGTGGCTGTTGTAGGACTAGATGCTGTGAAAACACATTTCTGGCCGTATGCTCTCATCTTAAAGGAAAAGAGGGACATTTCTCTGAGGGGCTGTCTGGTTTACTTATTGACACAGAAAATGAGATTTAGCATATGGGAAAAGGAGGCAGGGTCTAAGTAATTAAGAACCAGGGGGACAAATGTAAATTAGAAGGAAAAATATTCCCAATATCTCCACTTTAATCACAGCATGAGGTGAGATGTTAGGTGTTGAATTCATTTTATTCTGATGATAAAAACCTCGACAATGAAATTGGCAAAGGGCCCCAGGGGAAGGCGGTTTCCTCGCAGCGCAGAGGACTCCTGGCAGAGGGACTGGCCGCCGTCCTGCTGGCCGGGAGCAGCCTGGCAGTTTGATCTGTGGGTCAAGGAGATGGCAGTCAGCGATCCAGCCTTTGCCAGGTGACATGCAAAACCCAGGATTTGCCTCTGCCCTTGTCCTCCCAGCCAGGGAAGGGAGCGGAAGGGTACTTGACCTCAGGTGACCCAGAATGAGAAGGAGGCTCTGATCTTGGGGTGGGGAGTGGTAAGTCAGTGAACACTGCAGCTGACAAGCAAAGGTACAGGGAAGTGAGGGGAACCCCCACCCTGGGGATAAAAACAGGGCTCATTAAGTGACGTGTATCTATTTTTAACAGGATGTCGCGTCAAGATTTCCAAGAGAACTTCTCCTGCCTGTTTATATGTAACCAGTTTCCAGTCAGCCTGGACCTGGGACACATGCCCCATGAAAGATGGTCCCAAATGACGTTTAAGAACCGCATGACTCCAGGGAACACCACAGGTGGTTGTGACTGGTCATCATCCTGGCAGATGGGATGCTGCCAGCGCTGGTCCCATCCTGTTTCAGGTCTCAATGGCTCTTGATTCTGACCCATCAGCCTGAAGTTGGATGGAGAGGAATTTGTCAGCCTAAAGGGACAGCAGTACTTCCCCAAGGGAAATGGGTGCTGGTGGGGTGGGCAGGAGAATCTCAGATGTGTCTCCCTGGCCTTTCACTCTTCTATTGTCTCCCAGGGCCAGAATAGGTCCACTACTCCTCAGTCATTTCCAGGATGGTGGGAGGGCTGGGTTGAACTCTGTCCTTGCCCCGTACTGGCTTTGTGACTCTGGGAATGTTGGTGGTGTCTGTCCTCAGCCCCCGCTCCTGTGAACAGTGGGATTGGTAATCCCTGTCTGGCCCTAGACACCACGAGCACCACTCAGACGTATGGGCGAACATCCCTGCCCCGGGTCGGTGTGTCCTGCCGCAGGGCACTGATGCAGAGGAAGCCCCCGGAGCCTGGCTCCGGGCTCCAGAGATAAATCATGTTGGCTGTGACCCTGGGAGCGTCACCTACTCTCACTGCACTCCCACTCCCCACGTGTGACAAGGATGAGTGGAACAGCTCCCTGTGAGGGTGACCCTGAGTGTGCTTACATATCCTGCATAGGAGAGGCTGTGAAACAACGTGTATGTGTGTGCGTGCATGTGTGTGCGCATGTGTGTGTGAGTGTGGGGGTGTGCATGTGTGTGCATGTGCATGTTTGTATGAGTGTGTGTGTGCGTGTGTGTGCGTGTGTGTGTGTGTGTGGTTGTGTGTGTGTGTGTGTGGGTGTGTATGAGTGTGTGTGTGGGGGGTGTGTGCACCTAGACATGTGCATTCCCTCTCCTTGGCACCTGCCTGTCTTGAATGGTTTGCTGAGTGACCCCACCCCCAGGGTGTCCCTCTTTTCAACCTCCAGGCTCTTCACTCTGCTGGTCTCATCTCTGTAGTTGAAGAAACATTTTCACCAAGTGGTGAATGTACTCCTCCTCCTTGTTTTTAAAAGGAGACTGAGGCTCACAAAATAAAGAAGCTGATTTCACAGTTAGTAACTATGAACACTGGGGCCCGGGCCTTAGGTCTTCACACCCAGAGGTTCTAACTACCCCCAGGGCTCTCTGAACTCATGTCCCCCCCCACCCCCAGTCCCAGGAGCCAGGAGCTGAGCTGAACTCCAGCGCCAGCTCTTTCTCTTGCAGAAGGACTTCAGAGGGACACACAGTACATCTTCTCTGTGCCCGAGAGCGTGGAAGGCAACAATGTCGTCGTGTCTTTCAACATCGCGCCACAAAATGTAAAGGCAGAAGATGAGAAATTTCCACTAAACTTCCAGGTGTTCAAGGTAAGGCTGCCTGCTTCAGGGCTTGTCCTTTCGGGACATTCGTGTCCACCTGGTGGGGTGGGGGGCGGGGTGAGAGTAGCCAACCAGGCTAGGAGATGTCACTAAACCACAGCCTCGGAGATTCAACCCCAAGGGGCTATAGAGTTCATCCGGTCCAACTCTAAACTTGTAGGAAAACCTGACAGGAGATTAGACTTGACCAGTTTACAGTGGGACACACCCGCCCACGCCAGCATTTCCTGGTGTGCCGCCTCTAATGCTTGTTGCTGAAACCATGGTCCAGGTTCTGTCTGACCTCCAGGCCCTATCAACGCCTCACTTTTCCTCCCAATTCTGTCATCATTGCTGTGATGAGTAACCACATCTGACTGAGCTGACAAAGGGCGAGTCTCCTCCTCTCAGGCACCTGCTCCCCTCCTCCAGGTCCTTCCCCTTCCTGCTCCCCACAATGGGTTCGCTTTCCTTTTTCACAGCTCCACACAGGCCATGTGCAGTGATCCCCATTCATCCCTGGGTGTGCCAGGCAACAGGCAGACTGCACAGAAAGAAGGAATGCAGGGCCCTGAGCCGGGCTGCTGGGATCTGCTTGCCCTTGGGTATTGATTTGGGTTTCTGATTCTGCCTTTCTTCTCTTTCCCCACAGGTCGACCCTCAGGTATGGCTCACTACCGCCCTCACTGGGCTTCTCACGCCTCTGTTGTTGTCTGTCAGTCAAGTGTTACAGACCGACACCCATGGACCAAGAACCCTCACCAGGTCCCCGCATTCACACTTCTTGCTGCCATTGAGCAAGTCAGTTCTGCAGGATCAGGAGTCTGGGCAGGGCAATGAGGGTCCAGGGAGGGAGGAGGGCAGGAGAGCAGGGAAGCAGGGAAAACCTTATCTTCTACATTGTAGAGGACACGATACCCACATGTGCGTCCGTGTGTGCATGCACGCACACACACACAGAGCCACAGGACGGTGCTGGCTGTGCAGAATAACTAAGCTCATCATTACTTTTGCCAGAAGGGCTCAAGCAAGTCAGGCTCCCAACCCACTGGGGCTGCTGGGCATGTCAACAGCATCACTTTGGAAGATTCCATCCAGAGCTCTGGTGCATTCCTGGGACAGCCGCCTATCTCCCGTCTCATCTTGTAACAGCCCTGTTTCCACCCCCTGAAAAAAAGAACAAAAAAAGCCCTCTCCCCTTCTCCCTGTTTTCCCCCAAGGCGGAGCTCACAAATAATCATGTCATGCAGTGTAACCATTCTAAATGGAATGCCCATGCTCGACTGTACTGGGGAAAATTTATTTAGTAAGGGGCTTTTATTGTGTAATATGTATGTGACATCGGTAATGGGAACTGCGTTATATTTATTGTTTTATCTCTAAGAAAATATTGAAATAAAAGGAAAATGATCAGGGCCTATTATTCTCCAATGAGAAGAAATTTCAGGGCTCCGCTGGGAAGATGAAATGGAGGAAGTGCAGGGAGCCCCACTGTGGCAATACAGAGAGAGCTTCGCAGAAGGCACAGGGCAGAGGGGCCTGGGGGCTCCTGGAGGAGCCCAGTGTTCAAACAGTCTCACTAGTTTCCAAGAAATTCTTCATATATAGGTAAGCAGAGAGGCAAACCCAGAATCCAGGATGCTGTTAGATTTAATTAGATGAAACCTCTTGTCATATTTCTTTGCATTCATTATAGTGTTAGCATCTATATTAAATAACGGTCTAAACCCTCTTGCATTTTGAGGGTTTGGCCTAGCACCGTCTCCCTCATTAGGGCCTGTTTGGTTCATGGAGAGGCGTCTGGAAGGTGGAGGGTCTCCCTGGTGGCTGGGACGCACACCCACGGGGGCTTTCTCACCGTCCCCGTGTTTCCTCTAGTTTCAGCACTTCCGGGAGAGACTGCCGTCCAGCTTTTTTTCCCGATTCAGAAGTGCTGAAAAGGGCATCGTGACTAGAGCCAAGTACAACCTCACAAAGTGCTTCACGCTGAGCCCGGGGACCTATGTGGCCGTCCCGTCTGCGCGCAGAGAAGCAGTTGAGTTCTTGCTTCGAATCTTCCTGAAAATGCCAGACCCGGACCGGTAAGAACCTCTGGGGTTCTAACTGAAAATTCTACCTAATTTCATTAAAACACATTCAATGCCATGTTCATGGTCAAGACGGGTCAGCAAATGTACACCCTGCTGGGCAGCTCACCTCACCCCCTCCTGGACCTGAGGCAGACATCTCCGCAGTCATGGCGGTCTTCACAGGGGAGCATGGACGGAGCCTTCTCAGTCCAGCATGCCAGGCAGCCACTGGGCTACCAGTCAGGGTCACAACTTGAGGTGACGCTTACCTGCCATCCTGGCAATGAGGGTTGCTGTCCATGCGTATCTTGTGAAAGGAACCACTTCCTAGATGGTTAAGGACCAGATGGCCCAAAAGACTGGACATGTGGTCATGCTGGTCATTGTCTGCCAACTGTCAAAGCCGCCCACTTCACAGCCTGCTGTGCCTAGGGTGCTCCACTCGGTCCTTGGCGTCGGTGCCCCCTGGGGTGCCCTCCATAGGCAAGGCCCCTTTGAACAGTGAGCGGGCATCCTTGTCACACTGTCCCCCTGATTTTCTAGGAACCTGGGCAGCGGTTTCAACCTCAGAGCACTGCAGGTAGGTGTGCAGGAAGGTGGTGGGTAGGTCTCATTGGCCACATTCCATCCCCAAGACCTTCTTCTATCTTCTTCCTTCTTTCCTCATCACTGACCAATGAAAACAAACATTATAAGGGGATGGTGCTGGCTCAAAGGGGCCGGGCAGAGGGGAGAAGGCCAGGCCTCCAAGGCCAGGCTGGGCCCAACCATCTTCTTTCCACCAACTTCCACTTTCCCCTTCCCCTAAAGGTTTCACCCGATTGCTGGATGAAGCCTCTGTCCCAGATCCAGGTGGGGGGGTTCTTGAGCCCTCACTGTGCCAGACAGGTGCCTTCCTTTTCCAAAAATTTGATGTGGGCTATTTTCCCTTTGATCCAGGCAAGTCTTCCAGAAAATGGCTCCCAACAAAGCATTTTCTACAAATACGCCCAGCAGGTATGGGGACAGGTAATGGAGGGACCAGAGGGAAGGAAATAGGGAAGGAAATCTGTCCCAGGCTTTTATCAGGATGAGGAGAGGAAAGGTAACTTCACGGGTTATTTTATCGGCCTCCTTCTCTGGACATCTCCGGAACTGATCTGGCTACCAAACTCTGGAGAGAAATGACTTCCCACCTGGGTGACATCTGGGATGGAATGTAGAGCTTTTTAAATCTGTACACAAGCAGCTGGCAACATCCCTTGAAATCTTTCCTTCTCCTGCTCTGCCAGCTCCCACCAACCTTGGCATCATTCCTCCCGGGAGATAGCCAGCTGCAGAAATCACCAACAGAACTCTTCCTGCCAAGCAAGCCACCTATGTACACAGGGGATTTTCTTAATGGTTTTATAAACCGTTATAAAGAACTCCTTGACTTGTCAGGATAAAAACAGCTGCCAAGGGCTCTGCACGATGGGCTTTTTACCATTAATAATCATGTTGGGTGGAAAGTGATACAGATGATCTTGTGCATGGTGCCAGCCCCGGGCCAGGCAGAGGCCAAGGACAGGATGGATGCCAGACATTCAGACGGCTGCTGGGGCGGTGATGGCCAGGAGGCAGCCCAAAGGGAAATCATTCAGGAGCCTGGGCTCAGAGGAAAACTCAAGGAGAAGTAAAGAATGTGGCTGGCATGTAGAGTGCAGGTTGCAAGGAGCACCTCCTTGAAATTAATATGGGCCCAGGATTCAGGTCTACATCTGGGCTGATTCAAAAGGCTCTTGACCTGATACAGTCTGTGAGGTCCTGAAGGCAGGGATGACATCATATGCATTCCTTGTCCCCAGACCTTTCACTGCCCTTGGCACAGAGAAGGTGCTCAATCAATTTGCATTGAATTAAGAGAGATTAGCTTCCCCTAGAGCAGATGCCCAAGCTCAGGTCACTGCCCCAAGCTGATCAGCAGGACCTGACTAGGTACCTGAGACCAAACTTCCTTCAGGGGTGAGTGGCAAATCCTCAACATGGTCTATGCACCTGCACAATCTGAAATATAGTGATAAATTGGGAGATGATAAATGGTACGGATTCCCTAATTAGGACTTTTCTAAACAACAACCAAATGTCTCTCAGAGAGGGTCACTGGAGCCCATATGGGGCCTTTGTAGAAATGAGGCACAGATTGGTGCCAAACAGTTGGGAGTAGAACCCAGTCTGGACTCCAGTCCCTTCTCACCCCTTGCCCGGACACCCTTGAGCAGCACCAACCCGGCATCTTTCTGCAAAACTTGCAAGCTATTCTCAAAAGTTGTGAAAGAAAAAAAATAAGCCCATGTGCTCACTGTGTCCTTTCTCCTGATTTCTTGTATCCGTTCACCTAGCCTTAAATGAATACGGTGACTTGCTAGGACTGCTACCATTACCACGAGTCACCTTCATCAGCCATGGTAGTGGGGATGGTGCCATAAGCCAGTGGCTACCTGTGGCCAGCAAGGACAGGTTGCTAATGGGGCAGACCAGGCCCACCCATCCATCATGTATTTAGTTGGTAAACATGTCCCAATACCTAGGACATTCCAAGTACCATGCTACGCTTTGGGAATGCAGTGTCAGAACTCGAGAACTTCCATTGTGGTGGTAGAGACAGAGTGCAATTCTTTGGGAATTCGTTGAGGCAAAGTTCATCTCCATTCCTAGCCTCATCTCCTCAAACATCCTGGTGGTGACTGGTCCAGGGTCCAGGTCAGGGGCTGTGCTGGGAGGTTGGGAGACCTGCAAGAGGGAGATAGGATCCATGCGTCAAAGCTGCTTATCTTCTCGTTGGTTGGAGTTCCTCACCAACATGTCAGCTGCTCTGCAAAGCAAGGTACCATGTTTCTTTTGAGGGAAAAAACTCAGTTGATGGTGGGCACACCAAAAGGACTTCCCTGACCCATGAGACGTTGGAGGAATGACCTAAGGGCCAATTTCAGACACTGGCAGCATTTCTGGGGGCCTCATGAGGGGTCATCCTTCTAGCTAAAGTACAGGCTGCAGGATTGTTCTTGCTTTCCGTTCTGTGTGATGAGGCCAACCCTGGGGACAGCATGCCCTCTATGGGGTGCTGGTTCTCAGAAGACCCTAAGGAGGCCCCTTCTTCCACCTGACCCAGCACCACTCTGCAAAGCCACCCGCTGGGAGTCCTCACTCCAACTCCTTCCCCGTGTAAACGCTATGCCAGGGTGTTAATGTCCCATCATCCCCTCAGCTTTGACCAGGCTGGTGTAAGAAACGGCCACGTTAGAGCAGCTCTTCTCGGTAAAACCATCATGGAAGATACTGCCCATACAGCCACTCAATGTCCCTCATAGAAAATTGAATTCAGTTAATGCCTCCAGAAGTTCAGGCCAGGAAATCCTTCCTGCTTCAGTGTCTGGGAAGACTAGCATTAAGTAATGGGTTCAATTAGAGCAGCTTCTCTTAGCTCAGGTTCCCAGCATTTTAATCTCCTCTCACTCCCCCCCGCCCCTCCACAACCCCACACATGTACATTCAATAGTCATATTTTCTTAGTCTCTTTCTGGAAGCAGATGGGGAAACATACCTACGGGGCTGAATTGATTCATTCAGCAATACTTCTCCTGAGGGACTCCCAAGTGCAAAGCATGGTGGGGGGGAAGCAAGCACTGCTTTCAATCCAATCACGAATGAAGAGATAAATGCAAGGTACCCACACGAGGTATCAACCCTCGGGAGTAGTCAGCACCACAGAGGTTCCGGGGAGGGAGTATCACCGTGGCCCGGAGCCATCAGGAGAAGCTTCCTGACAAAGGTGAGCTGGGCACTGGGTGGGAACTGTGATTAAGCAATCTGAGTGCTTTGCAGAGCCAGGCAGATGTGTCCCTCAGCTCCTGGGCACTGGATAATTCCTCCTTTGTTTGGACCAGGGACTAGGCATTGATGCCACCCAGCTTCAGAGACTTCTCAACCAGGAATTCCTGAAAGGTAAGGACCTGCGGTTCCCAACGTCATCCCCACTGCCGAGCCAGCCCAATGTCACCCACCCCTGACACTTCAATCCCACCTGTTCTGCCCCCTCAGGACCTCCAGCGGACACCTTCTCTTTGGATGAGTGCCGGAGCATCGTGGCGCTGATGGATGTATCCTTTGCAGTCATCTCCCAGCCGTCCCCATCTGCTCTGTGGGCCTCCCAAGGAATCTAATGAGATGTTACAGAACCCTTTCTCTCAGTATTTTCTCTTTTTCTTGGTTCTGCGAGCTCACCAAAGGGCCTGGCTTTCTGTGGATTCTAGTCTAACCCCCTAACTCTCCAAAATACTGGTAACTGTAGTGCTCTAGCTGGTTTGGCTCAGTGGATAGAGTGTCAGCCTGCGGACTGAAGGGTCCCAGGTTTGATTCCAGTCAAGGGCACATGCCAGAGTTGCTGGCTTAGTCCCCAATAGGGGGTGTGCAGGAAGCAGCCGATCAATGATTCTCTTTCATCATTGATGTTTCTATCTCTCCGTCCCTCTCCCTTCCTCTCTGAAATCAATAAAAATATATATTTTTAATAATAGCCGCAGCAACAATGACAATAGTTACCATCTGTCAAGCAACTACAGAAGCACTGAAACCTGTGGAGAAGTCCTCAGTCTGTACAGCAGTTGGACCCCAGGGGCAGATGGGAGACAGGGCCAGCCATCCAGTGACTTGTCCAGTTTCCATAGTCACGTGGCAGAGCAGGGAATCAAACCCAGGTCTCCTGCCCCCCATCCTGGCTTCTTTCTCTGATGAGCCATGTGGGCCCCTCCCCTGACAGACAGGAAAGACCATCCTCCAGTATGCATAGCCCCCAGCATACCTGTAGCGCTCCCCTCGGTGTGGGTGGTCTCCTGGGAGGAAGACAGACCCTGCTCTTTCACTCCTAACAGGACTTGATTGGGAATTTGAAGGTCATCGCTGTCAAACAAGAGGGCTTCTTGATGAAATCATAAATCAGGCCCTGTCTCTGCCAGCAGATGAATCAAAACAGCCATAGCAGCCCCCCATCCTGGGGAAGGTAGCCCTGGAGGAGTCACCCGCCGCGCCCACCCCCACCGCCCCCCCGCCCCAGCAAAGCAGATGGGTCTTTTCTACCCTTCCTCCTACTCACACTCCAGGCCCTCCGAGATCCATTCTTTTCTTGTCATAAGTTCTCATGAAATCCATCATATGGAATGGCTAGGGCTGGTTTTAAGACATCCATTCGCATGCACACCTGGCCCACGTTCACGTCTCAGGCTGTTTCAGGAGTTGCCATGACCCCCTCAGGCTTGTTCCCACTCAACTGGTGAAGGTTGTGGTTGGGGCTCTCTCTCTTCCCCTGGATGCAAGAGATGTTGGCCTCCCCTTTCTCAGGGCTTTCTTCTCCTTCCACTTCTCCATTTCCCCTTGTAAAATAAATCTAAGCCAGGTCCCTTTCAGACGCAGCAGGAGCCAGCTGGCGTGAGGCCCAGTCCCCGTCCGTGTCACTAGTTGAAGGATGGAGGGCTTGTTGGTGGGACCTGCGGCCCCTCTGCTCAGTGCACGCTGGACTGGTTAACTCTTAACCCCCCGGCAGCTGAAAGTGAACGGGCAGCTCGACGAGGAGGAGTTCTCCAGGCTGTGGAGCCGACTCGTCAGCTGCCAGGTACCAGCATGTTTGCTTTGGACTAGCACTCTTGTTCCATCCCGTTTAGCAGATAGTAGTGGGCGCTTTCTCCTGCACCCGGGTTGAGGGGTGCAAAGAAAAGGAGCTTCACCAGGCCTCAAAGAGAACTCCCATTGTGTTCGGGGAGACATACATGCGTCACCAGAAGGCAGTGCCCGATGGAGTGGCAGGGTGAGGATCGCTCTTGGAGGGTGGAGAGAAAGGGCCCGCCATGGAGTGTAGCTAAACCACCAGCTATCCTTGCCCCCACATCCCTCCCCTGGCACACAGCCGCATCCCCAGGCTGCCAGTTCACCTCCTTCCCTGCCCCTCCACGTGCTGGAAGGTACATCAAAACCACAGATGTATATGGCCATCCCAGTGCTCAGGACAAACTCTAACCTCCTCAGAGCTGTGCGCCAGATCCTCTGAGTTATGAGCCTCCTTTAGGATCCAGGAGAGGCCCTTCCACTTTCTCCACACACCCCTGCAGACCCCAACAAGGAGACTCCTTGCTCATCCTCCCTGCACTCCCAGCCTGGGCAGCGCCCACCCACCCTGGGAGTCCAGCTCAGACACAACATCCCCGCAGGGCCTCCCTGGGGGGTCTTGTCCACCCCCGAGGCCCTGTGAGTTCTCCCCTCAGCTCCTAACACTTGAACTCGCAGCAGGAAACTAAAGTCCCTGAATGTGTGGCTGTCCCAGGCTATCACCTGATCCCCGACTTGGGTCATTTGGGGTCTTGCAGGCACTGCAGTGGCTGACATGCCCCCCATTAGGTTGTGGGGTCCTCCAGGGCCAGGGCTCCCTCATAGCCATCTTCCTTCCCCACTGCCTTCCTTAGTGTCTAGCACACAGTAGGTGCTCAAAGTGATAAACAAATGACCAAACTATGAATTACTGAGTGAGTGAGGGGATGAATACCTCTCTGAGAACACTCTACACTTGGTGGTTATACTCACCAACAAAGCCAGGTAAGGCCAGAAAGGGTAAAGCTGCTATCTCCCACTGACTGTCTTCTGAAGTCGGCCTCAGACACACCAGCTGGAGTCCCACGGCTTGCATGCTTAGCCCAAAGCACTCCCTCCCCACCTGTGAAGTATGGGACAATCAGGGTTGGTGTGTGAATCAGGAGAGGCAGAACCATGCTGGAGAGGGAGAGCCCCCTGTAGAGGTTGAGGCGTTGGGGTTGCTATGGCCTGGGACCGTGCTTGGTCCTGGACACAGTCCTCGCCTGCCTTGGTGCTCCCTGCACTCGCTCACTATGTGCAGGGCACCCTCCCGGCACTTTATACATAGATATCTGCACATTTACTCCCGGCAACTCACCTGGGAGCCAGGCCCTTGGGCCTGTACTGCCGATGGGGAAGCAGGCCTGGGAAGAGGCAGTAACCTGCCCAAGGCACACGCCGGGCCGTAAGCCAGTCTGTGCTCTTCATCACCCCGTGCAGACTCTTTCGAGAGCTCCCCAGCTCCCCAGAAGGCAGCGAGCTGCCTGAGTGTCAGGAGCCCCGTGCAGGGTGAGGGAGAGGAGAGAGCAGGTTGGGAGAGGGGGTTGGGGAAGAAGAAAACCCCCTAGCCCTGCAGCTGGAGGTCAGAGTGGGCTGCCTCCCCGTCCCCCGCTGGGTGCCCTGCCTGCCTCTGAGCTGAGCCTCCAGGGATGGCAAAGGGATTTGCGGGACCTCCCTCTCCCAGGACGTCCTCTTTACGATGGGCACTGGGACTCACACCGGCTCCTGGCCTCTTTCCTGTGTCAGAGCGTTTTCCAGAACACCCAGAGGAACACAGGCATTTTCCTGAGCTCGGATTTGCGGAGGGCCATAAAGGATACAGGTAAAGCAGGGGCCCTCTGAGCCCGATGATGGAGGGTGGCAGCGTGTGTGTGTGTGTGTGTGTGTGTGTGAAACCCCTCAGAGGCTGCAGGCAAGGCTGGTGCAGCGGAGCGGGCAGTCAGGACCAGCAGAGCTGTGGCTTCGTGGCCTCCCCTGGTTTACACCGGCCTCTGGGGCCTCCAGCTCTGGGCTCAGACTCTGCTTCCTTTGCCCGAGTTCTCACGTGCCAGTCAATGCTGCCGGCTGCCTTCTCCCCAGCACAGCTCTAACTGCGAGAGGGTTAGCCACATGATTGAAACCCTACCACCACGCCGCCCTCGGGGACTCTTCATCTTGGCATCCGGGCCGTCGGGGTTAAACACCCACGGGCAGGCTGGTGCACTCGCCACAGAGGGTTTGGGGCTAAACGAAATCCATGGCATCTCTCTGCTGCAAGGAGGCAGAGCTTTCAGTCCCGGGCTAAGGATGCAGCCCTGCAGGAGTGCCTGGTGGTCGGGCAAGGACTTGTACTCAGGTCATCTCATTCGATGGTCTCCACGACTCTGAGACTGGGAAGGGCGGGAATCGCCATCTCCACTGCGCCGTGTGGGGAACGGCTCGCACAAAGGTTGAGTCAGGAAACCTGTGGCCCAGACTTCCTTGCAGAGGTCTCCGTCGGCAGCGAGCTGCTGGATCTCGTCGCCCTCAGGTACAGCGACAGCGCCGGCCGGGTCAGCTTCCCCAGCCTGGTCTGCTTCCTGGTGCGGCTGGAAGCCATGGCAAGTAAGTGTCACCTGGGGACATCCTGGAGACCTTCCCAGTGACCAGAAACCCAGGAGGGGACCAGGGATGCACTCCTGCCCCAGCCTGGGCAGTGGGCGGCCTGCAGTCCTGCCCCAGGAGCTGTTGCCCCAAGAGACAGAGCCAACGCTAGCCTGCGTCCTGGTGTCACCGGCTGGTGTCCCCAGGCTCCTTCTGCACCCTTTCTCTCCAGGAGATCCCCTATCCCGGGCTCTCGTCTCCTCATCACCCTGTTTACTCAGTGCTCCTTCCAGGGTCACGGCCGAATCACTGGGTCCCTCTCCAGATTGTGTTTATAGTTTAAACCTGCTCTGTAGTCATGTGGCGAATGGCTTGGTCTCTGCAGGAGGAATTGCACACGCCAGCAAATAGCTGGGGGCAGGAGGTCTTTCCCCAGGCCGCAGAAACTCAGCTCTGTAGGCCAGAGGTTTGACGCTTTTTAGCAGCATACCCCTTTGTTGTAAATGAAATCTTCTGTGAAACCCCAAGCTACAAAATAGCTCAAAATGGACCTGCCGTGGCGGAGGTAGCAGTGGCATCTGGCCTCAGCTCTAATCCTTGCACCGCCCTTCCTCGTGGCATCACTGTAAACCCTACCGCTCTGAGCTAGACCATTCATGTTAAGATGGTGAGAACAGCCCTAGCTGATTTGGCTCGGTGGTTAGAGTGTAGGCCCGGACTGAAGGGTCCCAGGTTTGATTTCAGTCAAGGCACGTACCTCGGTTATAAGCTCAATCTCTGGCCCTGGTTGGGGAGCGTGCGGAAGGCAACCAATTGATTGATGCTTCTCCCTCTCTGTCTCTACCCCTGCCTTCCTCTCCCTCTAAAAATCAATGGAAAAAAATATCCTCCAGTGAGGATTATCCAAAAAAATAAAAAGATTGTGAGAACAGAGCCCTGGGAGGATAAATGAAAAGCCTGAGGCATAAACCTGTTCCAGAGAGTTCTCAATTGGATGAGGGAGGTTCGTTCCCGAATGATGCTCCGGAAATACTTCCAGAGATAAGCCCACACCGCCCCACGGCCAAGTGAGGAGACGCATAGAGCAGGGAGACGAAGAGGGAGAGAGGCATGTGGGCCGGAGCAGCCAGAGCAGTTCCAGAGACTTGAGCCCCAGCTGTCCCTGGAAAGGGAAGGGGAGCCAAAGCATCCCCGTGGAGAGGGAGGGAGTTTCTCTGGCTTCACACAGAATCTCCGCACTTGCTTTTATACGGGCCTGTCCTGATTCCTCTCCTCTCTACCGTAGAGACTTTCCGCAACCTCTCCAAGGATGGAAGACTCTACCTGACAGAAGTGGAGGTGAGCCGCCTTGCCCTCCAGAGACAGGACCAGCCCAGCCCTCCTCTCCTCCCCAGATTCCAGGGGCATTTTTCTCCCTGAGGATATCAAACAGTCTGTCAGAGGCCAGCCAAGCTGCCGGCCCCCCTGCCTCCAATTACTGCCTTTATATATTGCTGGCTGCCAAGGCTGCTCTAGGAGCTTGGCAGGCATTTTATTTTTTTCCGATAGCTTAATAAAGCAGAGGATTATGTGGAAGTCATCAATCCAAGCGGGAACTGAAGCACACCTGCTGAGCTCACTGTACATTAAACTTCCTCCCATTGAGTTTTGGAAAGAACCTCCTGGCCCAGCCAGCTGGTCGACCTCAGCTACCCTTCCACTGCCTGGCAGTGCAGGGAGTAGCAGGAGATATGCTGTGACAGGGGCGGGACCTCCTGCTTGGATTGGAATTAGCCAGAAAGGGTTGATGAGACTAGACAGAGATCTTTCAAGGGAGGAGGGTACCATTTGCCCTGATCTGTGTGAAGCTCATGAGTGTAAAGACTGGTTGTAATGAGAATGCTTATTTCCTAGTGGATGAACTTGGTCATGTACAACTGAAGCAAGGAGTAGAGCAGACCCCAGAGACCAGGTAAGACATGGCAGCTTTAGAATCATTTCTTCTTGGGACCCAATTCCCCTTCACCTGCACACAAGACCCTCTCCCTAGGAGCAGCCTCAGAGGTTAACGAGCCCTTATTTGTGTGAGCCAAGGGGGACCTGAGGTTTTAAGGCCAGTGCTGCAGGTTTCATCCAAGTCATGGAGACCAGTGGGCATTCATGAAAGAGAATGGCCTGAAAGTCATGAGTGAGGGAGTTAGAATCTGTTTTTTAAATCAATTTACTTTTTATTGAGATATGATTGATAGTTAACATTGTGTTAGTTTAGGTATCTAACAATGATTTGATATATATATGAAATGGTCACCACAATAAGTTTAGTTAACAACTGTCACCACATATAGTTACAGATTTTTTTGTTATGATGAGAACTTTTATGATTTACTCTCTTAGCAACTTTCAAATATACTAAATGTTGTTCACTATAGTCACCACACTGTACTTCTGCAGGACTTATCTATCTTAGAACTGGAAGTTTATACCCAACCCCCACCTCTGGAAATGACCAATCTCTTCTCTGTATCTATGAGTTCAGTTTTCTTTTGTGTTTGGGTTTTTGTTTGTTGTTTTTTTAGATTAAAAGTGAAATCATATGGTATTTTTGTCTTTCTCTGTCTGACTTATTTTATTTAGCATAATGCCCTCAATGTCCATCCCTGTCATTGAAAATGGCAGAACTGCCTTCCTTTTTATGGCTGAGTAATATTCCATTGTATATATACACCACATTTTCTTTATCCATTCATCCGTTGATGGACACTGAAATTGTTCCCATCTCTTGGCAATTGTAAATAATGCTGCAGTGAACATGGGGTGCAGATATCTTTTTAAATTATTGTTTTTGTTTCCTTTGGATAAATATCCAAAAGTAGAATTGCTGAATCATATGGTAGTTCTAGTTTTAATTTTGGGGAGAACCTCCATACTGTTTTCCATAGTGGCTGCATCAATTTACATTTCCACCAACAATGCACAAGGGTTTCCTTTTCCCCACATTCTGTACAACACTTATCTCTTGTCTTTTTTATAATAGTGATTCCAACAGGCAGATGTGAATTGATATCTTATTGTGGTTTTGATTGGCATTTTCCTGATGCTTAGCCATGTTGAGCAACTTTTCGTGTACCCATTGGCCAATTGTATATCTTCTTTGGAAAAATATCTATTCAGATTTTCTGTCCATTTTTAAATCAATTGTTTGTTTTTTCTACTGAGTTATATGAGTTCTTTATATATTTTTTATATTAACCCCTTATCGGATATATAATTTGCAAATATTTTCTCCTGTTCAGCAGGTTGCCTTTTCATTTTTATTGATTTCTTTTGCCTGCACAGAAGCTTTTTAGTTTGATATAGTCTCTCTTGTTTATTTTTCCTTTTGTTGCTTTTGCTTTTGGTGTCCATTCAAACAACTCATTGTCAAGACCAATGTCAAGATGATTATTCCCTATATTTTCTTCTAGGAGTTTTATGGTTTAAGATCTTATGTTCAAGTCTTTCATCTATTTTGAGTTGATTTTTGTGTGTGGTATAAAATAGGGGCCTGGTTTGATTTTAGAATTCTTAACTGAAGTTGCAATGAGGAAATGCAATCACTCATCACAGCAAACATTAATGTGTGGAGCAACAGAAATGATCAGACGTTGGGGAAGTGAAAGTTGGGTCCAGCCCCAGATCTACTATTGCCTCACTATGCAGCTTTGGATGCATCACAGACATCTGTAGGCATCAGCATCTATTTCTCTAGCATGAGTGCGCTGAAGAATTAACACCCATGTAACATTTTCTTCTACATTTTTACTTTTCAGAGAACAGACCTACAGATACATAGTCTACATCCCACCCTACTACAGCAGAAGCCCCTGCAGAGTCTGATAGAATATTCCGGAACTGGGGAGCTCAATATTTTGTGCTTCCATTGTTGGACACCTCCAGGTGTTAGGTGTTCTTTATCTAGAGGCAACAATCTACTTCCCTGGAACTTTCTATCCATGCTTCAAGCTCTACTCTCTGGACCACTGTAGAAAAATAGACTTGGACATGCCAGACCTTCAAATACTTTGCTGCCTAACCCAAAGCCTCTCTTCTTTCATTATCTCTGATGGTTCTTATCTAGGACTTTTTGGTGACCATTCTCTATATGCCAATGTCCCTTTGGAGCGTCCAGTCCCTTATGCAGCAGACCTGTGATCAACACATTCTGGGGTCCTATTCTTTTTGTAAACAGCATTTATTTAATCTCCCAATCATGTACCTTGAAATTAAGACACAGACATGGTCTCTATAAAGAAATAATATTTTAGCACAAACATTTCCTGATGAATACCTGGTGCTTACTAATGAACAGAAGTCAACAAACATTGCACAGATTCAAGTTAATTAGATTCAACTATATTTTCCTGAATTCCCCTTTCAATCCTTTTTAAAAATAGAACACTTGCTCATTTCCAATTTGCCTGATTCCTATCTCCATCTGCATGATTTCCAATATCAGGAATGATTCTTCAATTGTATCTTTAAGCTAATTTTGCATGTAGGACCTAAAGCTTGAACTTTTGAAATAACTGAACTCTCAATTATCCTTTCTCCCATAAAGGGTCTCAACTCCCTCTGCACTAATTTTCTCACGCTTCCTGTTCCTTAAGATTATGTCAGAAGGAAGTATAATGTAAGTTGCGTGGTTATGTGTGTTTCAGTCTCTTTCAGTAATGCCTGTCATCACCCTGAGAGTGCTCCCCCGACTTCCCTGTTAATCACAGCCCTCTGCCATCACATTATTAAAGCATATCCACTCACTCTTAGCTCATGGGTTGCTTCGCAGAATTGGAGGCAGGCGGATGAATAAATTCTGCCTCCAAATCTACAAACCCACTTTTATCTGTAATCATCTCCCACCTTCCTCCCATTATGCTAGAGGGCATATCCCTCTGAGGATGTCCTGGATCTAATTACCTTCCACCTTCTCAAGGGTTTGATTGAATGAATGCTCTCCTCTGACTTCTGAATACCAAACCTCTCTCTCTTTTTCTTCTGGAGCCTTCTAATTCCAATTTAAACATGCTTCCCTCTTAAATTTCCAGCCACAACTCCATCTCTTTCCTCCCTTTACAGAAAAACACCCATCGAGAGCCAACTGTCTCTACATCCTTTCCTCCCACTTTCTCCTAAAGTTGCTTCAATTCAGATTCTCAGATATCATTTCTCCTGGCCTTTTGCATTGGCTCCCTATCTGATTTCCTATGTCCACCCATATCTCTCAAATCAGTTTCCTGCAGTCTGAGCACACTTTAAAAGATTCAGATCCAATCACTGAACTCCCCAGGTAAAAATCCTTCAGTGCTTTCCAATTGATATTCAGGAAATGTACGGAATCATGAACATGGTCTACATCGCCTGGCCCCTGCCCTCCCATCTCACCACCCCTGTGTCTCTCCTCCTTCCTGCACTCTACTTCTACCGCCACAGCATCATTTTATTTCCTTTTGTGTTTTATTCTTTTCCCAGCCTCAGGGCCTTTGCCCTTACTATCTGCTCAGCCTGGGCTAGTCTTAGCCCTATTGGGTTCCCGTGTTATTTACTCACATATCACACTTCCCCAATCATAACATTCAAAACACGTTTTTATTGTTGTTACCAACTTTTCCCCTTTTTAGAGCTTTATTATGATGCAACTCACACACCATACAGTCTACCCATTTAAGGTATAGGGTTCAATGCTTTTCAGTATAGTCACAGTGCTGTGCAACCGTCACCACAATGTAATTTTAGAATATTTTTCATCACCACAAAAAGAAACCCCATGCCCATTAACGGTCACTTCGTAATTTTGCCTGACACCTCTAGTGCTAGGCAACCTCTATTCTACTTTCTGTACCTGTATATAATTGGAATCATGTAATATGTGGTCCTTTGTGACTTCTTTCACTTAGCATGGTATTTTCACGGTTCATCCACGTGATAGAATGTATCAAGACACCATTTCTTTTTGGTGTCAAATAATATTTTATTTTTGTCAATATACCATATGTTATTCATTCATTCATAATTTGATGGACATTTAGGTTGTTTCTACTTCATGGCTTATTGTGGATAATCCTGCTATGAATGTTTGTATACAAGTTTTTGCATGGATGTATGTTTTTATTTCGCTTGGGTGTATGCCTAGGAGTGGAATTTCTGGGTCATATGGTAACTCTATATGTAACATGTTGAGGAACTGCCGAACTGTTTTCCAAAGCGGCTGCACCGTTTTCACATCCCCACCAGCAGTCAATGAGAGTGCATTTCTCCACATCCTCCACAGCACTTGTTGTTGTCCGTCTTTTTTATGATAGCATTCTAGAGGGTGTGAAGTGATATCTCATTGTGGTTTTGATTTGCAGGTCCCTGGTGGCTTGTGATGTTAAGTATGTTTTTGGTGCTTATTGGCCATTAGTATAAGTTCTTTAAAGAAATATCTATTTAAATCATTTGTCTGTTTTAAAATTGGGTTATTTGTCTTTTTGTTACTGGGTTGCAAGATATATATAGAGGGGTAGGCAAAAGTACATTTACAGTTGTGAATATACAAAAGTTCATTCTTGTGTTATGATTAATTGTTGTATTATTTATTTGTATTATAACTGTAAACATATTTTTGCCCAGCCCTGTATTCTAGTACAAGTCCCTTGATCATGTTTGTGATTGCAAAACTTTTCTCTCATTCTTCATGTTGTCTTTTAAGTTTTTTGGTGATATTGTTTACAGAACATGAGTTTTTAATTTGGACATGCAAATTACCTGTTTTTTCTTTTGTCACTTACACTTTAGGTATTGTATCTAAGAAATCATTGCCTACCCCCAAGATCATGAATATTTACTTCTATGTTTTACTCCCAACATTTTTATAGTTTATCTCTTACAGTTAGATCTTTGATCCATTTTGATGTAACTTTGTATAT